TGGCATAGTCACCGGGCCCTCAAAACTGTGGCCCAACCATTTGATTGAACCGCTCGTTTCAAAAACGGATCCGTTTCCCCTGAGTTTTTCATTGGTTCCCTGAAAGCGATCCCGACCTCTTGATCTTTCCTGAAACGAGAGGTAAGGCACGCTCTGTACTCTCCCACGATGATACCTGACTGAAGCTTCCTTCAAGAGTCATCCGAAGCTTCGGCAAGAGACCTTCTGCTAAGCTCTATGGCGTTTTGTGGCGAGGGGGGGTAGTATAGGGGGCAATATGAGCACGACTTTCTTTACATTCTAGATTTTGCAGGAGCGATTGCCCTTGTGAAAGGACACCTACCACCTCGCTCCATTCACAAAACACAAGCTATGCAAAAATGAGCCTCGTTTTCTGCTCCGCAAGTGACGCAGCCCCATATGCTTCCCATACACTTCCCGGGGCGGCCACAGAGTTTGGGGCCGCGGCTTGGAGTAAGCTTCCCAGTCATCCTGATCAAAAGGATCCTGGCAGCTCCGCATTGAATTGCCAGCTCGCCCTCGGATGACGATCCTCACCATACGGTGGACAAGGGGAACCCGCTTTGGCGGTTAATCTTTTTGGTGAGAGCCCCAAAAGGAAAGGGTGCCAGGAACACCGTACGCACATTGATCAAGGCTTCTGCCTGATTCTCCAGAAATATGGGTGTGTACCAAAGATGTGACATGCCGTGTTCACTGATGTAATCACTATGTTTACAAATCTCTCTATATATAGATATACAATGATATACGTCTCCCCCTCTCTCTCTCTCTCTCCCTCTTTCTGCGTACGTATATAGTGTCTTTGGGGAGAATTGGCCATCATTAGCTGGCAGACTCAGAATTACCCAAGGGAACATTTTGATGATGCCGGCTGGCATGAGCATAACAATGCCAAAGAAAGAGGGTGCGAGAACTTCGTGAACTCAGTTAGCCCTGTCAGTGGGGCGACGGGTTCACATGAAATTGTTGTCACCCAAACAAAGATGCGTTGCCCAAAGGACCCAGGAATACCAAAAATGGGCCAACCACGGGGAAAAGGTCGGCTTTGGACAAGCGAGGCATTGGGCTGAGCGAGAAGTGAGACTTTGGGATTCCAAATGGAACCAAAGGCCATCCAAATTTGGCGGAGTCCCCACTATTGCAAGCTACAAGTGAATCACATAAAGATGTCGCAAAACAGGGCCTCCAACTTCCTCCTGTAGGAACACAAGTCAACATATTTCCAGTTGTGATAGATTCCCTTCAAACCAACAAGGAAAAAGACAGTAGTCTTCAGCAACTGGAGAAATCCCCAACAGCCGTCAAGCAGATCCATCGCCTCCCACCCACGCTGTCCCTTCCTCAATGGAGACGAAGGGGTAGGAGCTGAACCATGCCTTCGGGCAGCGGCATTGGCTTCCCGTGAAGCCATCCCAAAGGGATTCAAACGATTTGAGCCATCCAGAGCTCGATTGGCAAAGGCTAAACGGTGATCTTGCCATGAATCGCGTTGTGCGTATCCGCTCTGTTGATTCCGACAATGGGTTTTGGGTATAGGCTCCTTTTTACTTCCAAGTTGCTCCCGCCCGAAGCAAAAGGTGGATCAGATACATGTCAAACCCAAATCAGCTTCCCTCTCCCGCAGACTAACAGCTGGAAGCTCCCAGAAGGCCTCTGCAAATGATCCAAAGGGGTCCTGGGGAGCTTCCATGTTGGGCTGGGGATGCTAATTGATGATCTGGAGCCCGGTGGCTTGGAGTTTAGTGCAAGACCAGCAGTTCAAATCCCCAAACTGCCAATCCAATCCACCAACTAAGTAACTAAGGCTGTTCTGACAAAGGGTCTTTTTTGGGCGAGTTGGTCCAAAAGCAACGAGTACCATTAAACTAAAAGCCACTACCATGGGAAAACAATGTTCGCAATTGTTCAACCCACTTGGTCAAACCGGCAAAAACCGGCAGTGTAAATTCCACTCCGCGTCCCCCAATTCCGAGCAATCAAGGCCCGGCGTCAGTTCTGGAAGCCGTTCTTGGGATTTCCGCCGGATCAGGGCTAATGAGAATCGAATGATAAATGAGATCCGCAAGACTACCCCTCCCCTTACAATACCCACAAGTGAACAGTGCTGCTGCTGCCCCGCTTCTTCGGTTTTCGTTGGGAGCATCCGCGGATTGTTGGTGGTCCCCTGGTGCTGGAGAGTCCTAATAAGTCTGCAAGAGCTCTCAAATATATTTGGGGTGGTCCCAAACCACTTTCAATAGAAATTGCTGGCAGTGAGTCGACCTGCGCGAGCCGTTCGATGGCATGGAGCAGTAGGGCGGTGTGGCGAGTCGAGGGTTGGTTGGTTGGTTGGCTGGCTGGCTGGCTGGCTGGCTGGATGGAAACGTGCCTGGGTGCGGCGTTCGAAAGGGGAAATTGAAGGAACACCTTCCATGTTTTTGTACAAGGTCCAACCCTAAGCAGCACCAAGAGGCCTTTGGCATAGCAAAAGACCCCACGAGGGGAGGTGAAATCAAGGGGGCTCCCAAAGGCGACCCTCCCCACCAACTTGTGCCAAGAGAAAGGACCTCCGAATTCGACCTAGCTGTCCGAAGTGAAGCTCTCTAAAAATGCTATGGCCTCTTTGGCCACCTTTTCGCCTGCAACCAGCCTTGTAATACTCGATCATCTCCTGACGCGACGGCTCACACGCGACGTGGCCTCCATTGCGCTGAGAGGTTAAAAGCCATCGACACGCACTGCCTCTCCGAAACCAAGATCATTTGTTCTGGACGATGACAAAAACCAAGGAGACTCTCGCGCTGATGATGCTCATCAGACTTGGGTTGAAAGGTTAATAAAGGTTATAACGACATGAAGACCATCGGGGCCTATACACCGCTTGCATGCCTACGCGGAAGCCTCCGCAAGCCTACGAGGTTGCAAAGGGTGCCTACGCGAGCACAAGTCACCTTCCAGGTGCATACGCGGACCCCTACGCGGGCAGATGTTCAGTTGAAGTGTTGAAGTCCAGTTTGGCAGCTCCAGCTGGAAAATCGCAACTTTTCAGCACAAGAGCAGCTTTGGAAGCTCCAGCTCTAAGATCACCTTTGCAGCACAATTGAGAACCCACATCTGTCCAAGGATCTGGCTGCTAGAAAAGGTCCACATACTTAAAATGCCCTGGAAGCCTACGCGAATGCCTACGCGGGGCCTACGCGGAGCCTACGCGGAGCCTACGCGAAGACTGCAGAACAAACGGAAGGAAGGCGAAAAAAGCTATCTCCTTTATACTTAGCAAACGGCGTTGAGCCATGAGTTGTTCAAACGCCTGCGCGAAAAGTCTACGCGAGGCTTGACACGACAGCCCACGCGCAGAAGCCTACGCGAGCCGACGCCCCCAACCATGATTGCTTCCGCAAAGTATATGCAGTTCCCTTTTTGTATAAACCCTTTCATTTGATTAAAAACCGCTGCTCATATGAGCACGCATCTTGTCTTGGTTTCCAGTTGCTTTTCATGCCCAATCTGCCAATGATGCCATAAGCAATCCCGTCATTCCCAGACTCGCAGCTAGAGGTCCCCGGATTCAAAATTGGGACCCGTGGATCGCGCTGAACCGTTTAGGGCCGCCTAACCATTGTCTACACAGCCAGGAATCGACTACTCAAGTAGCTTGCGGCTCATTATGCTCCCCTTTCAACTCCAATTCCGCCCCAGGAGGACCGAAATGGTTTTAGGCCATACTGCCGGAAGCTGCGCTGAATATTCTTTCGCCGACCTGAATTCAAAAACACCTGCCAAGACTTCCAGCAGCCATGGATACATGCTGGCATCCATGTTTGGTTGAAAGACCAGTCGCAAGCCGAATCGCACTCAGTCCTCTGCACTCTTCTGCATTTCGGGGCTGCTGCCACTCTCGTTCTTGAAGTCCAAGTCGTACTTCTTCTGATCAGGCCTAAGCTTGGTCAACCTACTGAAAATCATAGGCTTTACATTGTCTTAGCCAACTGCGAAGGTGTAAGATGGTACCACTCGGTTGACCCAGTAAGATGTCAAACACCAGGGTGAAAGTTGATGGCAGAAACTTCTTTCTGTGTCAGGATATAATAAAATCAAGTTGAAGGAATTCTCTCATCTACTTTGACCCAAAAGCTAGGCTTCCACTACCAAACCAGGCCCTTTAGGGTCAACTTTGGGTTGTAACATGGATTTCAAGGCCGCCGGGAATCGGATGGAGAAAAAGTGCCCTATCCACGATTTTTCGCCGTATCCCTTTGTGTGGTCGAAAACCGGCCCGAGCTTCCAGGAGCCCGCAAGTCGAACCCTGGGAGTCGAAACCGGAAAGGAAATGCCAGACACTCGAGATCATGTTTGCCTATCTAACGTGTAGAACTTGAGTCTGAACCCTAAGACTTTAAGATAACTCTATGGCCCAGAAAGGTCCCAACATGCCCCAACCCATGTGGACGTCTCTCCGCACGAGCAAAACTGGAGGCGGCATCAACGACACTGGGAACCTAGCATGGGAGAGCTTGTCTTCTAACCTCCATTTAAGTTTCTTATGGTTGGCCGCAACGGAAGAAGAGGTCCAAGTTGAGCGATGCAAACATACCTGGCGGATTACCATGGTCAAAAGGGACCCCCTGTCCCCTGTTTCTGTTTTTAAGATGGCGTCACTACCCACACACCACTGCGTGTTGTTTCTGTTTGACTGGAAATATTGAACTAATCCATAAACTAAGGGACCGTTTGTTCACAACCCCTAAGCCCCCATGTTCCCTTCGCAACCATGGAGAATATTGGCATACCTCCGGGAGGAAACCAGCGCTTTCAATGCGCTTTACCATGCATCATTTCTGGTATGTCCTGCCCGGCAGGTTGGGGCGGGTGGCTAGGGAGGTCAGGCGACCCAAGATCAAAACGGACAAGTATGATGCAAATTTGTCTGGCAATCCTTTTTGACCGCCCCCAAACGGGGATGGCTGGGAACCAAGGTTGGTTTTGAGACAAAAAGGTCACCCGGGACTCGGACCAGTCGAGCCCGGCCTCCAGAACTCTGATGCCGCAACATCCGTGCCGATCTTTACCTTGCCCTCGTGTCCAGACTTCTTGATCGCCTGTGGTACATCTGCACTCCGGCGCAATCGGCAGGCTTTGTCTTCCCGCCACATGTATCCCCAACTGCACCTGAAGCCCTGAAATGCGGAAACCCTCCGGAACCCTGCGGAAACCCACCTGAAAGCTGCCCCAAATCACCCCAAAACCTATCTGGGCAAAGACCCCATAGCTTTCAGCTGGTGGAAAAAACATGCGGGGATGCGGCTTGGGCTGGGGACCAAGAATATTCACCGCTTCACGATGGGGAGCTCCCTTAATTTGTGCAGACTCATGTGGAACCCGTTTAGCTGATGGCGAGTCTCGATTCTTGGATGGGGACTCGAGTTGTACTAAACAACTCAAATTCAATTGGTAAAAGCGCAAGCAAGCCGTATCCACCCCCTTTCGGCTCCCTATTTGACAGAACTTAGCAAAGGGAGTATCCGAACCCAGCTTCAAACGGGATAATCCCTCTGGGGCTGGCTGAATTTCACCCGAACAAACAAGGGACCCGGAGTCTATGGTTTGGTCCCGAACCTCCGATGGACATGATTTGTACACTCAATCAGTACTGTAACCCCCCGCCCTCTCACGGGCAAAAGCACATGGGCGCTGGAGATGGTTTTCTCTGGCTCGAGCCAAATTGGTCCAACTTGGGACCTCATGGCGTTGAGTCTTAAGTGTGATCCCTGTCGTGAATGTGTCGCAGGGGTCAACAAGCATGGACGTGGCAGGAAGCCTGGAGATGCTTGGATTCAAGCACCCTTATCCTCCATTTGCTTCAGTCCCTGGAGAAAAAACGCAAACAACATCCAGTAGTGGCACATCCTCTCTAACATCCAGTAGTGGCACATCCTCTCTAAAACCAACAGGGAGAAAAAAACATGGCCGCGCCAACCAATTCTGGGGACAAACGTGCCTACAAAAGGCACACCAAGAGGTTTTCAAACTCGGAACTCGGTCGGAACGCCTCCATCAGGACATCCAAAGCTTCGTTGTTGTCTTGCACGTTCGGCGCAAAGCCCTAAGCAAGCCGTCGCATCTCACCCACAACCAAATAACATAGTTTGGCGCTGGGAAACAAGAAAGACTTGAACCCAGCACTGTTGGGGGAAGATAGATTCACGAACATGGTGGATTGCCATGACTTGTTTGTGATTTTTAAGCAGATGCCCTTGGTAAAGAAAGTGGCAACCCAAACAAACAGTAAGCCAAAGACTGACTCCCTCCACACCAAAGGACCTGAAAGCAAAAGACGGGTCTGTCACTCGCTTGACCAAACAGTGGAAAGTGAGCAAACCAACAAGTCACAAGCTCGGGATTAGACACATGGCAAGGCCAAGGTGACGAAAGCTTGTTCCCCTTAGGACTTCCCTGATAACACAGAAGCAAATGTCCCACAAAGCCCCAACTTTCGTTGAGATCAAGTAATGACAAACACGACATGCGAAGTGGAGACCCAACACCCATTGATTCTTGCTGTACCATCTCGGTCAGGAAGGTTCATGACATCCTCCCTTGAACCTTCTAAGCATTCTGACTGTCCAACCCAAAAGTTTTGGCGAGAACTCAGGCCTCCAAACTCCGGACTCTTCCCCGATGCTCGAGCCGTCTTCGTCACCCCCCAAGTTCACAGGAACCCCTCCCCTTAATTACCCCCCCTAAGCATCATTGGACACCTCATTCGGGTCAAACCGCAGCTCCATTGGCTCAGGTTTGGGGACCTCAAGTGAGGGCCTTTTTGAGGGCCCAAGATGCTAAGCACCCAGGTTTCCCTTACACCAGAAGGTAGATTTCAGGCCGTGGGTTTTTCTCAAGGGATGTGTCCCAAACTGCTTGGTTTCCTTTTTGGCCTCCCTTGAAAACCAAGCAAACCAATTCACCTAAAACCACAAGGGGCTTTACCCCGAACAAAAGTCGACAACCAAACATGTTGAAGACCACACAACTCCAGATTGCTTGGTTTCTCGTTGGTTTCCCGTGAAAACCAAGCAAACAGGGAAACGCTTCCCGAAGAAAAACAAAAAAACAACGGCGTCTTCATTTGATTCGGAACTTGAGGAAGCGGAAATCCCGAGCTTGGGACTCCTTCATCCCCCACGTTGCAGGCGTCCTACAGGTGGCGGTAGAGCTACAAATTCACATCGAACCCTCCACCAATGGGTGGGTTTTGTGGGTCTCATGTGAATCTATAGGGGGGTAACTACTTAGTGGGGAAGCCATCAATCAACAAGGCGAAAAACATAACTAGACCACGGTTGGCCCGAAAGCAGAACATCGCAAGCGAGGTCGGCCCAACGCTGCAGGATGCGTTCTTTTTCCCTACACGAAGCATTCGTGAAGCAAGCGCGAGACAGCACCAGGCAAGGTGCTCTGGGCAAACTGGTCGGTGCAAGTTGGTCTGCGCAAGTTGCTCTACGCAAGTTGCACTGTGCAAGTTGCTCTGCGCAAGTTGCTCCGCGCAAGTTGTGCAACTTGCTCTGCGCAAGTTGCTCTGCGCAAGTTGCTTTAAAATGCAAGTTGCATCTTGCGACGCCCGCCCGCGGACCAGGGAGGAATCGAACCCACGACCCACCGGTTCCGGGAGCAGGCGCGCGAACCACGAGACAACTCCCGAGGACAAAAGTCGCGAAAACCCTCGAGTTTTTGCACCTCGACCACGCCGATTCCCGCAGAGGGTTGCGCGAGCACCGCAGAAATCGCAAAAAAACCATGAGTTGTTGCACCTCGACCACGCCGATCCCCGCAGAGGGTTGCGCGAGCACCGCAGAAATCGCAAAAAACCATGGGTTTTTGCACCTCGACCACGCCGATCCCCGCAGAGGGTCGCGCGGGCATGTTGGAAATCGCAAAAAAACCATGGGTTTTTGCACTCGACCACGCCGATCCCCGCAGAGGGTCGCGCGAGCAGGTTAGAAATCGCAAAAAACCATGGGTTTTTGCACCTCGACCACGCCGATCCCCGCAGAGGGTCGCGCGAGCAGGTTAGAAATCGCAAAAAACCATGGGTTTTTGCACCTCGACCACGCCGATCCCCGCAGAGGGTCGCGCGGGAACTTTAGAAATCGCAAAAAACCATGGGTTTTTGCACCTCGACCACGCCGATCCCCGCAGAGGGTCGATTTTCGTGTAGTGTCGTCGGCACTACCCCGCCGCCCTAAGAAGAGATTTTAACTCCTCGCAAGTCAATTGCACTTGACTCCTTGCACTTGCAACTTGCACTTGACTCCTTGCTTGTTTCAAGGAGTCATTGCAAGGAGTCATTGCAAGGAGTCATTGCAAGGAGTCATTGCAAGGAGTCATGGCAAGGAGTCATTGCAAGGAGTCATTGCAAGGAGTCATTGCAAGGAGTCATTGCAAGGAGTCATTGCAAGGAGTCATGAGAGCCATTGCAAGTTGCAAGGAGCCAAGTGCATGGAGTCAAGTGCAAGTCGCAAGTGCACGGAGTTAAGTGCAAGTTGCAAGTGCAAGGAGCCAAGTGCAAGGAGCCAAGTGCAAGGAGCCAAGTGCAGGTGGTTTGCAAAGCAAGTTGCAAGTGGAGTCAAGTGCAATCTGAGTCAAGTGCAAGTTGCAATCCTTGCCATGACTCCTTGCAATGACTCCTTGCAATGACTCCTTGCAAATGATGCAATGACTCCTTGCAATGACTCCTTTGATGACTCCTTGCAATGACTCCTTGCAATGACTCCTTGCAATGACTCCTTGCCATGACTCCTTGCCATGACTCCTTGCAATGACTCCTTGCCATGACTCCTTGCAATGACTCCTTGCAATGACTCCTTGCAATGACTCCTTGCAATGACTTTCATGATGATGATTGCTTGCAATGACTTTCTTGCAATGACTCCTTGCAATGACTTTCATGATGCTGATTCCTTGCAATGACACCTTGTAATGACTCTCATGAGAACAACTCAAGTGAACCCAGCGGAAGAACCCTTCGCCATGCTTTCGGGAAAAATGGACAGTTCTCAAATGCAATTATTGTAGATACGTCTTCGGTAAATGTAGCCTGATTCATTAAACCACAAGCAGGGATCAGGCGCTTCTAGCCGTAGTCGAAATTGGGAAAATCGATCTACATTCTTGACTCTTTACATGAGCAAATAGGGATTTTGTTTAATCCCCTGAGATTTGCCATTCTGTTCGAATGACATACTGTGTGTGTGTGTGTGTGTGTGTTTGTTTTTTGAGGGTACCCTTTAGGGTTTCACAGGGAGACCAACGAAAGGCCGACATCCATTCTGCCGCCCCCCCTATTTTGACGTGTATCCAGCTGTTCTTTGGGGAACTCCCTGGCGCTGGGGCAAACGGCGCCTTGGTCTCCGTTGCGCCAGCCCAGGACTGCGCTCGGCCAAAGGGGAGGGACATTTTAGGAACTAGAACGGGGTCGTGGGGATGTTGTGGGAATGTTGTAGGGATGTTGCTCAGGAAGGTGCGCACTTTTGACACTTGCTGCTTTTGACGATATAGTGTGGTCTCTGCTTATTGTATGGGCCGTCCTCAAGAACCAACCAGCTTACGCTCCCACCAACTGGTGATTTCCAAAGCAGTATAGGTGAATCGGCATGATGCCACTGCATAAAATAGATGAAAGAGCGTCTTCATGTAAGGTCAGTGGTCGGACGCACACTCCATGTGAAGTCACTGCTAGCTTAACTAGGACAATGCAACTTCGGCACATGTTACACCTTGCTCTTGGCCCAACACTCCAACCCAGGGGTCATTCAACCCAAATGCAAAGCCCTTTGAAGCGACATTGAATTTGAAAAACATGCATCCTGCAATGGAAGGAGGTTGTGGGGTACATAAGAAACCTGAGGGGACTGGCCAAAACAAGCTTCAACTATGATACAAATTTCGGACGGCCTAGAAAACGAAACACCCCCTCCTGGCCGTACTTCTTTTTGATGACCCCCTTCAAGGTGTGATACACCTCCGCGCCGATCTCCATGGCGTTCCGGAAGGAGGCCGCGCCTACCGAACCGACACCCCAGAAACACCTGTGATATCACAGGGTTCTCTTTGAGAGACCCGCGTTTTTGGAGTGGTTCAAAAGGAAAGCAACAGGGAAGCCATCCACTCACTAGGGTTCCAACCAAAGAAACCCCACCTTTCAACCCAACCAAGTGTTCAAAACCAAGTGGTCTTCTGCTAAAAAGCCAGCAGAGAAAGACGAGCCGCCGCTACTCACTTCCGATTGAGTGGATTGCCTGTTTAAAGTCACCAAACTTTCTGTTTAACACTAAATTGGTTTTCAAAAAAACAAAAAAAGTCCAGGAACTCAGGGAGTGACAACTGTGGGGTGTACTAAAAAGGCACGCGGCCGTGATTTGCACACTGACCCTAACTGTTGTTTATTGCTATTTCAGTCGGCCACCTCTCAAATAATAATTGGGGGGGATTCCGGTATGGATGTCAGCGAGATTTACGACGAGCTTGTTGTGTGCCAAAACAATATTCCCCAAAACCTGGTTGGTGTTGACCCCTCTGCAAAATGTTTCTTCACTTGTTGTGGGTGAAATCCATTTTTTTCAGCCAACAATTGTTAAAGTCTAAAGATAAATTGGTGGTTTTCCTTTTGGTTTCCGTTCAACACCAGAACAGGTTGGTACCAACTCCAAATTGCACTAGACCGCCCTTCAAAGAACTGGATTGGTTTGGAGAAAATCCGAGAACCCGCCCTCCCCCCCAAAAATACAACAACAAAGAAACACAAACAACACAAATCGGACAACTCGAGTGAATCGAATTGCATCAAATCCTGCGGCCTGTTGGGAGGATCATGAACTCCTGGCACGCCAGGCGGTTGCCCGCGTGACTTCCGCCGTTGATCACGTTGAAGGAGGGCACCTGCGGGTCACCCGAAATCGCAACCCGATCGGTAGTGCCTCATTCTTGTGGGTCAAATATCATCATTGGAGTCGAGGGCAAAAGTGTAAATAGTACGTAACCTTGATCCAGTCAATGCCGAAATCCTAAACTTGGGGCAAATGCAACCCTGTAAAGGGATAAACATGGATAAACCGCCTACCAACTGATGGAGGATTGTGTCCATCCACGGTAGTCCTGTTGAGAAACTCACAATTTTTTCTCATCTGCCCACTCCTTTCTGGGGAATCCAGCAATCCCAACCTGGCGTTAGGGTATACCTGTCTACCCCCTTCTTGTTGGAAGGAACACACGTCCCAGCTCGGAGCGACTTTTTTCACTGGACTGGTACTTGCTGCTGATGGGATGAAAGTGACATGGAGACCCTTGGCCATGGAGATTTATGTTTAACATGTTTGAGGGGGTCCATATTATTTCGCACCACCTAAGAAACCACGGGAAATCATTGTTGTTGGTATTTACAGGGGAATTATCATTCCAGGCTTTCTTAGGTGGTGCAGGATTTCGTCCATCCACAGTATTTCCCTTGAAATTCATAGCCACATAAGATTCCATGCTCCCTGAACCACGTAACATGTCCCGGTTCTCCCAAGAGGGTGGGATTCCATTTCTCGTGACAAATGACAAAGTTTGGGTCCTACAAATTCTTTGGGCAATTTTGGGGCGCGTGTTGAAAACCGTTATTTCACTTCAAAGGTCAACCCACTTAGTAAGTAGGTTATAACCATGGGTATTAGGGAACCAATCCCAGTTGCCCTAATCCCTACTTAGAACCATGGTTTCAACCCTAAGCAGGGCAATATCACGCGACATTTTCAAACCGCAAATCCCTGTGTTGTCTAAACGAGGCCTCGTTAGCAGATGTTCGGCACGTACGTTGTGAAGACACATGGTGTGATTTACATTTGTCCAAGACTTCTGATTCTCAGTAGGGCATGCCCCCCATCCCTTGTGGTTTCGGGGATCCGCTTCCTGTCCATTCCCGAACCCCTGAAATTTACTGAGAACTGTGGAAACTGGCAACGTGGGTGCGGTAAACTTGACAGCCCGTTCCCGCATCGGCAAGAACAAATTGCAGGGTTTCTACGACGGATCAACCCCACTCATTGGAGGGTTTTGTGAAAACAGAAGACCATTGAATTTTCATGTTTCAAAGGGCTCACAAAACGGCATCAACGTGGCAAGCCCATTGCAAGGTCTCCCAAAACTGGTCGGGGCCTCATTTTTGAACAGAGGCCATGAAAGTGATAGATATTCGAAACAATCCCAAGCTATTTGGAACAAGTCGCAGAGCAGCAACACCCCTAGCAGTATCAACAAGATCACAAGCATAACCAAACCGACAAGCTGTTATAGAGCGATTTGAAATAAATGCGGTGTCGGGTGGGTCAAAGATTGGTGTTCGTTGAGGGTCGTTTTAAGGTCAGTTCACTTGTTCTGGCAGTTGTTCTGCATTGTCAATATCATTAGCATCCTCCAGGGTGGGGCAATGTTTGCCAATGTGGGTGTTGTTTTAGCGTCAGATTGGGATTGGTTTAGAACCTTTTGTTCGGCTGCTAGGATAGTGGGAGTCGTACGCCACATAGTTATTCTAAATGTCCTTCCCCCATGGGTAGAAAGATTGCACGAAATGTGCTTTCCTAGTTAGACAATTTCCGATTAAACAAAATTGGTCTCTTTGTGGTGGTTCAGAGGGAGACTGGCCCCCAAAGCACGTTAACCCCTGAACTGTTCGCTTTGGACCCAAAGTAACCCCGACACTTGCTGCCAGGCGGCCGGCATCACGAACCGATCCGTGGGCTTGCCCGCCAGCATGGCGATGTACCTGCCATTTTTAGCGACATGCGCCATTCCGTGTGCCTTGGGGTGTCTAGGTCCTCCAATTGAGAGGTTAGCATAAGGGCACCAACTTTTTCTGTGGTCTATTTTAGGGGAACCCTCCCCGCAAAAAAAAGGTAAAAGGGCACTACTGGGGGACCTAGGTGTGCTACTGTTCAGGGACAAAAACCATTTCACAGCAGATGGGATTGGCGGTTCCAACATTTGCACATCAAAAGGAAGAAGTCTCGGAATGCCCCAGAGTTGACTTAAACCCAGGGGCTCCTCTTTTGGAAAATCAACCAACCCTTGGTTTATGGGGTAGTCAACAATACGGAACCCTGCGCACAAAAAGAGGCGTTAGCGGTTCGCAAACAGTCAATTGAGCCCCTATCATTCTGCAAAATGTTGGCCTATTCACAAACAAGACTCTGATCTTTCAATCGTTGGTGTGGAACAATAAGTTTGAAGCGTTTTGGGGCCAATCTACTCAGATGTTTCGAAGAAGCAGAATCACGGAAAAGCAAACCAGCGACTCCCCCGCACCGTTCCTTTTGACGATTTCAGAGCAGGGAGGGAGTCGTATCTAATATCAATCGTGGCTGAGCCTTCAGGCTTGCTTGCTTCCCTCTTTCTGAACAGAATGGACTACAAGCTACTCAACCCTACTGCAGTCTGAGGAAAGGCTTCTGTTTGTGTCCAGAGTACCGAAAAGGAGCGGACAGGCAAGTTGGCTTCTGATGCTTTATGCAAGTTACACAGAGCAAACCGCTTAAACGTCGGCATACCAACATGGAACGCGGAAAAAGCCCCCCACTCCCACGCAAAGATGATGGTCGCTTGGGTTCCATGTCCATCCGCAGAGTAAGCAAGTACTATATATTTACATCATGCCCTGGTTGCTGTTGACCCCTCTGCAAAAAGTTCAACTTCTTGTGGGTTCAATGGAAAACCCTTGAGTCTAAAGATCCAACCCAATAGCAATCAAGCGCAAGGGGCGGACTATTTGCACACCCTACTCTGATCTCCAACAGCTCAAAGATGTTTGGAACCAAAACCGTACCCAAATGCCCCTGTTGTTGACTCGGACCCTTTTCCCCTGGTTCTACCAGCATCAAATCCAAGTGGTATATTGGAGGAAAACCACCAACCAGTGTCACTTTGATAACCCCGAGAAACCGTCAAAACAATGACCTCATGAGTCCAGCATTGCATTTCAGCCACGGTGCTGATAGAGTGGCACGCCCTTCGCAGCAGCACCCGCCCGGCAGATTGCCATAGACACCTCGGGAAGGTCTTCTGCCACCAGCCCCCTGGCCCAGCAACTGCAAAAAACAGAAGCTGGTTGCTCCCCAGCCATCGAAAAACATTGAAACGAAAAAGGCGCACAAAAGATTTATCTACCATGTTTTTGGGGGTTGCAGGAGGGAGAGCAAAGGGGAAAATCAACGCAAGGTGGGGTCGCTCCTTACCGAGAGTCGGAGGAGGATCTGCTGAACATCAGCTCCAAAACTGGCGAAGCCCTTGTGGGAAAGGTCCTTGGCTTGATTCGTTTGACCGTTCTGAGCAAGTGTCCAAACCCCACTTGCCCTGACCCAGGGTTAATGAACTCCTTGTTTATCAATGGGGGGAGCTGGGCAAAAGAAGCCGGGGACTGGGTAGGAGCGGGGACGGGCAGCTGGTAGTTCACCGCTGCTCGCAACGCCTTTCTGCATCTTTGCCCACTGCCCAGTCGCGAGGGAATCCTTTCGAGATGCGCTGAGCATCCGCTTCCTGACAACATGGACTTGCCAACCGTAGGTTCTGCCTCAAAACAACTTGCGGCATGCTTCATAGACGTGATAATGTGACACAAGGTAATTGGAGAGGTCGCGCGGCCAGACATAGACCTTTGGTTCAACAGGCAAATGAAGCAAAATTTCCGAAGTCAAATTCATGTTGTTTGTTTGATGTGTCTGGCAGTAAAAGTCAAGTCGCACAAACCCTTGGACACGTGGCCGGAGAAGATCAAAGTGCGCCCCGAGAGCAAGCCGCTGCACTGAGTAGACTTGAACCCAGCGGGGCCCGGAGGCGCATGTACCCCAAAACTTGGGAAAGTGTCTTTAGAACCCTTGGTATGGGCTTGTGAAAGACTTTGTTTTGTGCAGCCCTTACAAAAGACAGAACCAACAAAAGCAAACACTTAACACAAAATGCCAACAACAGGGAAGCTGTGGCAGTGTAACCCGATCGCAAGCTGCCCCTTTTCAGGCCCAGTCTAAACCTGGGCCCGCCGGCCGCCAGAATCGCGTTGGCGCCCAGCTTGGACTTGGACCAGCCCCACTCCTCGAAAGCGACTCCCGGAGGGCCCCTTGGAACAGAAGCGGAGCGGAAGCCGACCAGCCCAAAACCTGGAGAAACACCCATCGATTTTTCGGTTTGGAGTTGGTCATGTTGGGTGGTTTTGAAGGGAAGCCAAAGGGAGAAACGTTGCGCCACCTTCGGGGGGTGCCCTAAAAAGAGACACTCAGTTGCTTAGGATAGGTGTCCTTGCAAAAACAAAGGTATCCCCGAACCCTCTCTGAAAGCAGCTCCGGACTCCCCCAGAGCTTTGGGTAGAGACCCCATAATGTTGACCCAGGATGAATAAACCCGTCCCATTATTGGGGGGGTGTTCCCTCCAAAAGTGATGAATCCCCACTAAAAGGGGACCCCCTATTAATCAACCAGGGGTTTATTCATCCGGGGTTAACATTAGCTTCCAGCTGTTGAGGAATAATATACTTCCAGTAGTCCTATAGATACGTGATAGATTCCCATTAAAACCAACAGGGGAACGTAGAAACACCTTCTTGAGCAACTGGAAGGACTATACGAACCCGGAACAGGCTTGTGGGGTACTTTAACGAACCGAATCAGAGTTGTCTTTTGGTACTTCTTGAGCCCCTTCCAAAGCAACTCCGGATTCTGAAAGCCAGTGTTGCAGGCCTAGGTTGTCTTGGTAAGCCATACCTGAACCATACTCAAACGAGGATTTTCTAGGATCCGGGGATGGATGCCCCCCGACAAGATTGTGTTTTTCCTTTTGGCTTGCCTTCAAACCAACCCCAAAAAGGGACCTTCACCGCACACACGCCTGGCAGCAAAGAAATCGTCCCACATCCTTTCCGTCGGCTTCCAACTGAAGGGCAACATGGGATTGTCTCAAAGGGATCCCCTCCCAGAAAAAAGTAGTAAGTTGGTTTCCTTTTCAATTCCCAAAACCCGCTCAAAAAGGGTATCCTCAAAAAGACACACCCATATTCACCAGTGGTGATCCTGTCCTGACCCCCTCTGCAGGGCATTTGCGCAATCGCCGATTTAGCTAAAGGGGTTCATGCTCCCTCGAAACGTGAGATCCCGGCCACATGCGCAATGCCATAGAAAAGTTTTGCATCCAAGACCAGCACTCCCCCCCCCCCCAACCACTGCTTCTTGGTTACCGTACTTGTGATTTTGGACATGGGAACAAACAGGCAAGTTAGGGGTGCTAGGAGGAGACCTGCAAGTTTAGAGCAGCTTCAAACTCGCCTACTTCTCAAGCTTCTGAACTTTGCTCGAGTCACGTGCTTCGCACTACTTGAAATTGGATGCTTTTTTAGAAACACCCTACTGTGTGGTTGCCCTTCTCATTCCTCTCATTCCCCAACTTGGACTACACTTTTGAACAGGCTATATTTTGAGTCAGCAACTTGGATGTTCAATCCACTTAGTTAGCAGGTTACAACCATGGTCGCCAGGGGTTGGCTCCCTTGTAATTTCCCATCAAGCTCTGTTAGCTGATGAGAAGTGCAAAGGTGACACGCATATACTGCGCACAAGTACTAAGTGGGTTGAACATCCAAGGAGTTTCGACTGGCCAATTGACTCGAGGTCCCCTTCCCGGACATTGGAGGCGCGTTCTTGGAGCCGTCCATCTCCTCCACCATGAGCTTGTCAATGGCTACCTCGCGCGGAAAAAAAAAAAACTGCTAAACATTAGGACCCCCGGCACACCACCATGGTTCTCAGAACCCTTCCATCTTTCAAAAGCTAAAGGGAAGCAAACCGAAGCAGAACACAACCCCCAACAAAAGGGGGGTCCCTACGAGAGAAAGATATGATGCCGTGCAAGGTCGCACCCCCAAGTGAGGTCGGAATGGTTTGACCATTCCAACACAAATCCAAAGATATGAACTGACTGTGGCTCCAATAGTCGGATCCCTCAAGTGAATTACAGCCGATCAACATCCACCATGCCAAAGCCCAGCAGCCGAAGGCGTCTCCCAAACCTCGAAAGGAAGCTTAAGGGTTCTCATAACAGGGCTTCCCGGAACCCTGGGGGGTAGGGCCGATTTTTGTTGTCTCTTGCGTGAAAATCATGCAACTTGAGTGACCTTACGGCTGCGACCCGAAAGACCCTCGCTATCCCCCTACCTTGAGGGGAGGGGTCCCCCAATTCCAGTCATCTAGTCTTGCCGTGTCTGGCCCACAAAGCGAAAACTGGAACCATAAATGGAACTCCCAATTCAATTCCGGCTTCCCTGTGGTTTCCACCGTTGCATCGTTGCGGGTACCTCAACGACTACACTCCCGATTCCTAAGGAAGGCAGTGTCGAATTGTCTCAGCCTAAAGCGAATCAACAGTCGCATGCTTCGTGATAAACGCACTCACCGACCTGTCAAGTCATGGAAACGACCCGGACCAACTTACGGGTGAAAGCGACCAACCAAGTCCTATTGTGCCCAACCACACACCAAAGGTCCGGGGGGAAATAAAAACAGATAACCGTTTGGGCCCTTGACAAGACCACAACACACAAAAGGGAAAATGAAAAGTATTGTTTCATGGATTTCCTTTCAATTCCCCTTCACGGAGCTAGGGTCTGGAAGTCATACTCAATTCTGCAACCAACCCTGTCTGCACAGCGTTGGTCAATTCCAATTCATCCATATCCATCCGGGATTACGGATCTTGCGGATTGCCTGTCAACAGCCAATGGAGGTTCAGAAACTCTGACTGAACCCTGGACATATGATTTGTGTGTGTGTGTTAGGCTCGGTCCCTTTTTCTAAGGGGACATGAAGAGGATGCCACAAAAGGGGGTCCTCATTCGGCACTGCGGGATTCCGCGTTCGGCGCGTTCCGATTCTGCGCCGTCCTGGTCGGTGACTTTCAGGCCGATCAGCTTGGGGCCGATGATGTCGTTGATGTTGGCCACTGCCTTGAGGACGCCTCCCGGTGGCAACGTGACACGGGTGGCAAAGACTTGGTTTTCCTTGGGCTCTCTTCAGAAACCTGCAAACTTGGATGTGAAACCTACTTGGTAGGATACAGCCTTACAGCCATGATAAGGGTGAACGGGGTTGGTTCCCGTAAAACCATGCTTGTAATCCACTAAGTGGGTTGAACATCTAACAAGGGTGGGGAACCCACCAAACAAAAAGGGAAAAACAGCGGCAGTGATGAGCGCAAACTCACAAACAAAGCACGTTTGGCACGTTTGGCACGTTTGGCACCCATGTGTCGTGCAAAATATGGCGGCGGCGTGCTGTCGACAGGCAATGTTGATGGCCCTTTTGGCTCTCAAAGCTGGAAATTAACTCGCTGCTCGATTGGGAATGAGATGGAATAACCTCCTTTAACAAGCATTTTGGAAGCTGCCCGGGTTTCCGTTAAGGTTCTTTTCTCTCATGAAGGTGATTCTCTACTGAGGATCAGCTACTCAACGTGCACGGGAACTTTATGCTCTGCTCCAGTTTGCCGTTAGCAATGTAAAAATCACGTTGTGTTCCAGTCATTTACTGGCTTCAACGCCATAGCAAACACAAAGCCGTTGTGGTTTATTCGGGAGTATTCAGTAGTCAGGGTCGTGAACTTCCTGTTTCCCTTGTTATGGCTTCAAAAACCGGACAGATGCAAACCGCTCAGCTCAATGGGGTGAGATGGGGTCTTGCCAGGTTCGGACTCAAACACGCAACGTGTTCGTTTTGGGTATGAATTCAAATATCGCGTTTTTCGCCAACAACTCATTATGGGCTTCTTCCTTTGGTTTCGCTTCACAACCGCTGCAAGCTTAGGTTACAATCATGGCTACAGGGAAAAACGTTGGCTCCCTGCCATGGTCAAAACCTTCAAATTGGGTTGAACGTCGCACAACTGCCTAAAAGGAGCAGGGTGCCATTTTTGAATACACCAAGATAGACTTAACTTAAACCCATTGGATTGATTTCCCAAGTATACCTTGGGTCAGGTAACCCTCAATGTGGATTGGTAGTTTGGATTTGGATTTGAATGGCCCCTGGTCCTTGTAGAGGGTACATGGGAAAGAACCTCCCAAACTCCTAACCTCCTAACCTCCAAACAAACTCCGAACCTCCAAACCTCCTAACCTGAAAAAAAACACCTTTTCGTGGGAAGCTGACGGGTAATGTCAGCAGACGATTAGTAAACCCCCCCGATTAAAGGTTTCCCCTTTTCCCCCCCAGGTTCCAACCAACACTAAAGTAAAGGGCCAACAAGATTTCCCAAAAAAAACATACCCAATAATTTTTGAGCCCTCCCCAAAACCCCCCCTGATTAAAGGTATCCCTCTGCAGCCCCCAAGCCAACAAAACCTGCCAGAAAGGTGCTTTCCTTCTTGCTTAGTATTTGCTGAGTCTGTGCTTAAACCCACCAATACTAAGTCACTATTGAACCCCTCAAGTTTTCCCAAAAAAATGTGCTCCCCCCGAAATGCATTTTTCCTTATTAAAATTTGTTTAAAATGACAAGGTTTTCAAGCTCACAAAGGGGACCCCCCTTGGAGGCCAGTCCCCCCTCATTAACAGAAAACCCCCCGCGATTAATCAGGGGTCTTTTGGGCTCAAAACCCACAAAATATGCTGTTGCCTTTTAGACCAGAAGTAAGAGGACGAGGACCGCAGGGGCTCCAGACTAATCAGGGGGGTCCTCCCAAAAATCTCATTTTTTGGGACTTGTCCAAACCTTGTCAACCTTGAAGGGGGGGGGGAGGGGGGTTTACTAATCAGTTGGCACCATTACTCCGGAAATCGAACCGCAAAGTCGCTCGGCCTTTCCCCAGGAGCCGGTTCTTGTCGCCGTCCCGCAGCTCCAAAGCCTCCGCTGGAGCCGCTTCCGGTCGCCCGAAACAATTAACCTGCTGATTTGATCGAGTTCTAGACATCTCACCACCGACCCACCGCAACAAACCGTTCGACGTAAAAGGGGGGTCCGGGTTTGGACCATTTTCCGATTCAAAAAAAAAAAAAAAAGTCGGGGTCCATGTTAATTGGTGGGAAGGCAAAAAACTCTGGAATGAGTCGATTCCCCTGAAAATACCAACTAACGTGTTGGAATCTTGGGTGATGCAGGATTTCATTCATCTGCAGTATGGTTCTTGTGTTTTAGAACCCAAACGGTATGGGCTTGCAAAAATAACTAGTTTGGCTTTTTGCAGCCCCCCCCCCCAAAATAAAATAAAATAAACAAACCCCAACAACCTAAAACCGAACAACTTGCCAACAACAGCGAAGTTTGCTGTAAAACCAAATGCGAGGCTTTAAGGCAGAAGGTGACATCTGGAATTGAAAACAATGAGAAACCAGCAGGAAGCTGAGTTTTGGAGGACTCCCTGTAGGACAAATGGCGGTTTCTGTGCTGGCATAACGGAATCCCTGGGTGAAGGACCTTCATCATGGGTGAGATCTGTGTATCCCAATTAGTTGAGACCATTGTAAACTGCACTAAAAGATACTTGTTCAAAACCCTTTGGACTTAGCGTTGCGGATTCATCACTTCTCTACGCCCTTTGGACTTAGCTTTGCGGATTCATCACTTATCGACACCCTTTGGTTCATCCTTCCAAGAAAAACCAGCAGGAGTAACCCTCACTTCTCCAACCACCCCGTTTCTCCAAGGAGGTAGTTGCCAACGAGTTTCTCCAACCTGTGGAAAGATGACCTCGCGCAGCCAGTGGCGAGCCGACGCGACCACCCCGTTGACGCGGCCTCGTAGACGCCGGTGGAGGCGCCGCTGGGCACGGCGGCGCGGAAGAGCGCCGAGGCGGTGCAGAGGTCAACCTGCTAACCAGAGAGCCGAGGGGGACCCCCTTAACATGCGCAGGGTACTTGTTGTCTCCACATCTAGTCATGTAAAAAAAATGATCTCACTTCCTGAGCAGACTGGCCAAGATAAGTCTGAGCTTCTTACTTACCACCAAAATGGTCCAACCCCAAAAAGTGACTCAAGTCCAGAAACTCGGGAAGCTGAGTTCATCCCATGTGGTTCCAGCGTTTAGTTCTAAAAACATGCACACACCATTTTTCGTATCTCACTCCTCGGATCGACTGCCGTTGTGGTCGGCTCCTGAGCCGACCACGTGGTGAGATTTTTTTCCTCGCCGCCTCGCCTCCACCGTGGGGTTCCCCCGAGAATCGAAGATCTCCCGGGCCCGGATCATCTCAATCCTGGACTTCGCGCTCGTTCTCGCGGGCGTTCGCTCGCTCTGGGAGCTTGCAACTAGGTCCAGACTTGAGAGCTTAGAAGAAGCTAAGGTACCCGACTTTTTTTTCTCCTTTTTTCCCCCCCCCCCCCCTTTGTTCCCGGTTTTGTTTAGTTTAGGGGAGCCCTCCCCCAAAAAAAGGGGGGAAAAGGGGGACCTAGTTGCTGTCTTTGGAATATTTGGTTGGCATTCGGCTGTGGCTCAACAGTAATAAAGAGACGCAGGTTTTCGTCTACTCTTCCATTTACCCAGGACCCATTTTGGTACCTGAGCCGCAGCCATTTGTTGCTGCTTTTGTATCCCTTTTCGGGTAAAGGCAGACCGAACGCAAGTGATCACGAATGTGCATCGGAGCTGCCGCACTGGAAGGCGCCCGCTGTCGTTGAGTGTCCTGTGTCCTGTGGGTTCTGTAAAAGGTAAGCCTTGGGACACAGACAAAACGAAGAGACGCCAAACGGAAACCACATGAACGCGAAGGGGAAACCAAAGGCACATCCAAGGGAAACAATTCATTTCGCAGGCTTCTTAATTTTGAGGCAAAGCCATGTCTTAAATGGCACACGAACCGTGTGACTGTACGTTCAAAATCCCCAAGGTTGCCAGGTGGCGAAGCAAATGGATTGAGCACAAAATCGGGCGGGGGTTTCTCTTTAAACCAACCCCAACAAGGGCACCAACTCCAACAAACACGCATTCCCAAAGGAGGAGGAATCTGTCAAGGGAATTCACCAGCTGCTTTGGCGAAGAGAACGAACTCCGAAGATGATTTCCCTTTTGGACAGGCTCGCTAAGGAGTGGCCAGGAAACATTGAAACTTGCTGCTTGGCACTACCATTGTTAATTGTTTTGCAGGTTTTGTGGGCATTTGACCGCACCCCAATGTAAGTGCATCATGTTTGAACCTCCCTTGTTTGACCGATCTCCTTTTAGTCTCCCGGCAACCGTTTGGCTTGCGGCGCTCTGTGCCCTAGGGCCAAAGCTGGCGCCTTCAAAGGCGAAGCATTTGGGTCTATCTCTTTTTGAATTGGACAGCTCTTTTTCGGGTTGGTTTAACAGGACACCAAAGGGAAACCACAGTGTTTGGGGAACAGTAAAAGGAAACCAGCTTTTTCGGGGGCTCCCCCTATCCCTATTTTGAGACAAACCCGTTTGTGGTCCTGTTCCGCTTTGCGGGTTGACTGGATGGGCAGACTGAGTTGCGAGTTCATTTTGTTGCCAGTGGTTTCCAAAGTTGATGTCGGGGAGGCTCTTGCGAAAAGACCACTGTTGTCCGTGTTGGGCCATTAAAGAGAAGGACCTAGAATTAAAACGCAAACAAGCTCATGTCATTCACAATGCTTCGAGTCATGTAGATGTGTCTTACAACAAGCGGCCCCCCAAAAATGCTGGCTTCAAGCTTCCCTTCGGTCTTCCACAAAAAAAAACAAAAAACCCAAAACGGGTACCCTCCAAAAAGACCCACGCGGGTTGCGGCGATCGCCAGTCTCCTGTCGTCCCCTGGGGCCAACATGGCCGCCAGAAGCTTCCTCGAGCGACCGGACTGGGGGCGCTTGGGAAATGGGCGCCTCGTCTTTTTCTGAGTTGGTACCCTTTGTTTGTGGCTTTTAAGAGCAACCAATGGAAAACTGCAGCGACTTTGAGGGAGTCCCCGAAAAATGACTCCCACCCGAATTGGTAATTGGAACTCGGTCCACACCCGCTTGTGTGCAGCACCCAAGGGTTGGCCCAGGGAAATTCTACATGGGTTTGTAGCTTTAGGCCCTGGATCACGGCCCCCAAATTATGCGGAATTCTCCTGGCGAGTTTGTCAGGAGATTCCCCCAAATGTCTTTGTTTTCTTCTCGGAACCTTTGCCGCTGAGGTCTAAGATGGTGCCCACTACCCCCACACCACCCCCAAGCGAAACGTGGGATATACAACAACTAACAACCGCTAAAGGGTATAAACCTTGATTTCCCCTGGGGGTGGCTTGGGGGTGGAAGCCATCTCAGATAAGGGCATTCCCTTAGGCTTGATAAACCCGCGTTCCGCCTGAAAAAAGCTGGGCTCTGATTTTGGAGGAACACCCCTCATTAATTCACCAGGTTGATTCATCCGGGGAATCAGGTCGTCCGAAACGGATCCCATTCGGGAGGAATCATACAGTTCGTTCAACATATTCCGTCCATTTGGAGTGCAGGACATCCACAGAGCCAGCGGACAAACACTACGTAAGTATCCCATCTCCTGTCTGGTAACCAAAGGCACCTTTTGACCATGGCCACATCTCCAGTCTCAAACGGAACAGCCATGTATCAGTTGCCATTTGGGCACTTGGGCAAGTGAGATTTCAGCCCCTTTCGTTTTGGGAGACCAAAACTACCAATTCTTGCTTAGCGGCTGGGTCGGCTTCTGGAAACCAGATGCGTCCGCCTCACCTGGCCCAAGCGCCTCCCCACAGGGGCAGACCCCCCATGTTTAAGTGGTGTTCCCAAAAGAGGATTCCATTCAAACTACCCCAGTATAAGAAATGGTTCTTAAGAAACACTCACATACACAGTACATTTAGTGAGAAATTATCTATTTTTCAGGGGGGGTTCCCTGAGTGGGCACGCTCTGTGGATTCCGAAGTTAACTCTTAAAACTGGGCTGTCCGTGTCGTCTGATCCCCTGATAAAAGCTTACATTGTGGGTTAAATGGACACCCAACCACTAGATCAGCTGACAGCCAAACCATAAGGAACCCGATGGCTGGGAACCACCAAGCCAAAAAACAAGCTGAGCGGCCCAACATGTTGCCTAAGTAACGGGCACGTCACATTTTCCCGGCCAAAGCTGCTATTCACTCAGCTCCCGCCCAGAGATTTCAAACAGCGACCGGCGGCCCCCGAACTTTATGAACCCGCAAAAACATGGTTTTGCCTGGGACATGTGTAAGTAATGAGCCCGTCCTGGCTGTTGAGAAACATGACCGAGCCCCCCCCAAAGGTATCTGATAAACTAACTCCCCAGCCCACTCCAATCGTGAGGGGTGTGTGGAGACCTTTCTGTTTTTAGGGAATCTGTGACTTGGCTTCGCCCGCCAAGTTCCCGAGTTCCTGATAGAGGTCTTACACCCACTTGGGTGGCTCGTCTTTTTTGGAGCTGGTACCAACCGTTCTTGTTGGCTTTGAAGGGAAACCCATAGGAAAACCCATTATGTCCTATTTTTTTTGGGGTCGTCCCCTTAAACAAAGACACGCCCACGTATCTGTAGCTACATCCAAGAACTCGCCCATCGCCGAATCGCCGCTTCGCCTTTCCGTGCCGCGGAGAGGTACTTGCGCACCTTCACGCCTAGGACCTTACCCAGCTCCACGCCCCACTGGTCGAAGGAGTTCACGTTCCAAACCTGCGCGAGCCCCCTTCGCAACCAGTCCGATTGGCAGAAAAAGAGACCCCTGGACCACAAACAAAAGCAGGGAGAGAGAGAGAGAGAGTGAGACTAGCAACTCTGACCATGGGAATTGCCTACTAGGTTGAACATCCAAGGGCCCGGGTTTAAGGTAGGGTTGGGAATATTCCTTCTTGAAGCGTCACCCCACTGGAAGGAAACTGTACTTTTCTCGGGCTGTCCGAGATGAGTAAGAGAGCTCACGGGAAAAACAACTCAAACACTTACTTCCTCACTCAACAGGTAAAGAGTGGAGTTTCTTCTGCGACACTGCATAACATTGCCTGGTTCGAATTGGATTCCAGTCCCCCCCCCCAAAAAAAAGAACAGAAAAAGCGAAAATCAAACCTTGGTACCTTCTAGGATGGTACTTTCACCCCCTTTTTACCTCTAAAACCCTCTTTTCAACGGCACTTGGACCGAAATAAAGCAATATACAGTTGTCACCCAACGTGTGGGGTTTCTCTTCGAACCCCCCCTCTTTCCTCTACACATGCATCAGTTACATCGCTTCGCTTTGTATTCGACCTGAGGTCGCCACCCAGCCCTGCACAGCAGTGCGATGCTCGTACAAGGACAGCAACAGACCGAGGTTGTACCTGAGCCAGCTGCTACGGTTAATCTCAGCCTTTCTGGGGTGTTTTACGCTTTTGAGGCTGCAAGTTGTTTTTCGTGAAGGGAAACCAAGAGGAAATTAAATCAACCACATAAAGGGAAGTGGAAGATAAAAAGGGTTGCGGCGAACCGATCAGCACAAGGGTATAAGTGGGCCATTCTCTAACACCGTGGCTCGGAGCGGTGAACGAAGACCGACTTGATATTTGGTGTGGTCCTTTTGCTTTGGATTCCTGTTGTTTTGCCTTCAAAACCATGCCACCGGGTAATTCAGACTGGTCTAGATTGGACCCCTGCCCACAAGGCAAAGCATTGCTTAGCTTTCGGACAAGTTTCAAGTTCCATGCCCCTCCCAAAGAGAAATTAGAGTCACTATTGGCGGGCTGTGCGTTCACATGTACAGTATGGGTCAAAATCAAGCACGGCGGTCGTCCTTTTGGTTTCCCTTTAAACCAGGGTGAAAAGGATAACCTCAAAGAAACACCCTCCCCTCCCAAATTCTACAAAATCGACATGGACAGTGTCTGTACCGGAAAAAAGCAGCAACAACAAATGTGCCAAGGCTAAGGGTCCATTTTCCTTGTCCATGATTCCCTGCTGAAATTTTGACTGTTAGTGGGCCAAATGGAAACCCAACCAGTCAAACAACTAAAAAACCAAACGCCAGCTTGAAAAATCAACTAAACCTACCAAACCAAAACTCAAAATCACCAAACCAACCAAAAAGCCAAAAAACTGCGGGTGGGTTGGAAAAAAAACAAGCTCAAAGCCTTTAAAGGGAAGCCTGCCCTTGGCCCTCCCCTTGCGAAAACAACAAAACAACACAGGGATCCTTACATTATACACCTGAACATTGCCTTGTCAATGGTGGTTTCCCTTTATGTTGGTGGAAAAAGCCATTTTTCTAATGGGCAAAATGTATCTTTTAGCCCTGCAACATTGCACAGGTTTCCGGCCCAAGTTTCATTCCTGAATCTTCAGAGCTTCAGCCCGGCTGCGGATCGCAGACCGGCAGGAGCAGGGAATTGGAGGGCCGGTCCCCGCTGAAGACCTTGTGCCTCAAGCCAGGACTCACGTGGATTGGCTCCCAAAACCTTCTTGTTCACCAAAGTGGCGTCCCAAATGAAGTCCAATAACTTGGAAAGTGAGAAGAGGCAACTAAAGGAAACAAAATAGCTCAGCGCCCACAAAAACATGATACTCGGAGAAATGATATTAAAAAGGATCCAGCCTGTAAGCAACTTGAAATTGGCAACCAGGGTCCGCCTTTGGCAACAAATACCCCTCGGACGCCAGGAGAGTCTGCACAAACCTTTAGGACAACTGAAATTTGTGTGGAATGGGGCTTGTCAAAGGCTGGGCTCCGTCCTTCGGTCAACCTGCTTTTCCTCACTCCATCCGAGTTGAATCATGAGGAATCCGGCTAACATCTAAACACCTGTACTTGCATTCGCAGCTGCACGAATCCAAGGGGGCTCAATGAATACAAGTACTTGAGGATGGTATTCCAGACATAAAAAATGAACAACGTACCTGCTCAGCAGGTACTTGGACCCTTGAGAGCGCAGAACGCACAATTTTGATCTAGTGGTTATCCTCAGGTCACCAGACCTTCCCGCCCGCTTTACCACCACACGGGCCAGCTGCATGATAAAAGCGATGTGAGCTCCCAGAAAAAGCTAATGTAGACTTCGGATTCATGCGGCCCCGCGTACCAGCAACAACACACGCTAAAATGCATCATGTCTTTACTCAAAGTAAACGGGGACCCCCTGAGTAGTACGTCCTCCGGATTGACTTGAAGCTAACAGGCTAAGCATGATCATTGCTATTCAGGGCTCCACTAGCAAAGTGTTGCGAAACTTCCATTTGCCCGGAAAAAATGAACATATTTCCAGTAGTGATGGATTCCTAATAAAACCAACAAGGACATAATTGAACAAAAAACACATGGAAGGAAATGGGGGGGAGGTGCTGGCAGTTGTGAACAAACACGGCATGAGACGTTTCCCCCGGGCTTGATCTTAACGCAGGAAGCTGTTTGAAGGATGCGTTGAAAAGCCAAAACGAGTATGAAACAAGCAAGCTGTTGCAGGAAGGTGATGTATTTGGGCCGCATGTCATTGGGTTGGTCGCCGGTGTGAGCCATCGTATCTCCTGAAGCTTCTTGTGGGGTGTTACCCGCCCACCGACCAACATGGAACTTGACAGGGGGTCCCTTGAAAAGAAGACTTCCAGGATCTCGATTCGTGAGGTTCCATGCTAGTTGGCATTGGTGGGAGGATTCTCTCACGTTGCCAAAACACGGGTGAGCCCCCACATCCTGCCAAATTCACCATACACTGCATTGTTGATACCTCGGGGTTGCTACTATGAGCTACCCTTAGGGTAGAAAGTTGGCCCCACTGATTTGGAGCGGTGTTTGCGTTTTGGTTTCCAAGAACAATTGCCGTCCCAGAAGGTGCCCTCAACAAAGCAGGAAAACAACACAACACATGGGTTGGTCAATATTTTGCGAACCCTCTGTTGGTTGCCTTTAAAGGGAAACCAAAGGACAACCACCAGTTTGGAGGTTTCCCGATTTTAAGACACCCCCACATCCCCAAAAGTTTCGAGGTTCGAGCCCAGGGGAACCTAGCGAACACTCTGGGAAATAGAGAGGGTGCCACTATATTCGATATATCTAAGGGTGGAAGTACCCCGGCTTCCCTGGTGTCCACCCCACTTCATATGGTATGAACATCAGCCTGCCTTTCGGGCTCATTTGCTCCAGGGGTATGTACAAGTACCCCTGGAATATAAGGGTCCACATAATTAGAATGTCTCGGGGTACTTGAAAAAGCCAAAATTAAGCAAAGGTCACTGGATTTCCCCAAATCTAGAGCTGATCAATTCAAACGTTTCCATAAATACGAGAAAGCCAAATTTTGAGGTTCAAAGGGAAATGGCTCGGAAACCCCGTAGTACTTGTTACTGTTTTCGCCCCAAGCCATCGGTCAGGATGCGGGATCAGCTTCTCCGGCACCCCTTCAGCCTGACAAAGCACAGCTGTTGCTGATGAAAACTGCGCTGTCTAAATGATTCCCTGCTTAAAGTTTAACTTGTGGGTTACATTTGGAAGCCCAACCACTAAACCAACTAAAACCCGAGAAAAAAAGACACAAAAAGGAAAAAAAACAACGGATGAATCGCTGGGTGCCAAGGAAAGATGAAGGATACTCTGGCAATGTTTTGGGGCTTTCGCAGAACCCAATGGTCAAAACCGGACATCTAGACTTCGTGGATGACGATGCCATACTTAGAGAATTATCCCCAGGATTGTGCCCACACGCTTGCAGGCAAGGGACACACGAGCCAAACAGTACCCGTTCCAGTTTCCTGGGCTGTCCAAACTGATCTCCTTCGAAAAGCTTAACTTTTAGTAGTTGAGTGGAAACATACCACTAATTCAACCAACTTCCTAAGAACCTAAGGGTGGCTAGCACCGCCCAGTTTGGCTGTTGGTTTTCCAGCCGGAATTGCCGCCTTTTGCCACCATTTCCCATCAGGCAGAACTGCAGGGCGTGACAACTGCGATGCTGAGCTTGGGGTCTGTGAAGAGCACATGTGGCAGCTTTTCAAAAAGAACCAACTACCGCCAGGAGGGGGTATACCTTGTTTTGACGCATTCCCATGCAACGTTCGATTCGAGGGAGGGTTTCATCTGAACTCTTCGCGCCTCAGGACTCCTCGACGTATGGACTCCCGACACCATCCGGGCTTGGAGGGCTATGGTGGGACACCCTTTCAAGGTTTGCCTTTTCAACCACCTTGGGGTTTGACACCAACGAACAACTCCTAGGTCCTCCAGTAGAGAGGTTACAATAAGGGTACCAACTTTTTTATTTTAGTACGGGAACCCTCCCGAAAAAAGACACGGTAAAAGGGCATTACTGGGGGACCTAGTTTCTCTCAAAGGGAGACACACCCCTCTCCACCTCTCCACCCCCCGATCCCACTCAATCCACTCGCCTTGAGCTCCTCGGCAGTTTTGCCCAGGGCCAAGGCGTCCGGCTGCGCAAAGAAGTTGGACATGAGCTCGTCGTGGTTGGACACCGGCTCACCATCCAAGCCTTCTCAACCCATGGCAAGTGGAGGCCATGAACCTTTGAATCTTACTTCCGGAACACCTCAAATGTGGCTGGTGGAATCTTTGAACAAACAAACACAATTGTGCGCATGTTTGATACTCACGGCCCAACAACTACTCTTTCCCATATCCAAAGTCTCAAGTACGGAAACCAAGAAGCAGTTGTTGGGACCCGGGTGCTGAGAGTCAGGGATGGACATCCATCGGCATCCATGCTTGACAGACTCAGGTCAAACGGAGGCTGGGACCATGTCCCAACCCTTCTACGCAAGTAGGCTACAACCAGGTACCCAGATATAACTATATTATATTTTCAACCTGCATACTAAGTGGGCTGGTATCTGGGTTGAACATCCAAGTTGTTTTTTTCGTGGGTGAAGGGGAGGGGGTACTGGACCTCGCTCAGAGAACAAGCTCCGTCCGCCAACAACTCTTCCGTTGCAAGCAGTTGGGAACTGACCGGGTCCCCTTCTTGCCTGTGGCCCCTTTTCCGTGGGCACCAAATTCATGGCTCGGCTTCCCTGCCTAGCACCTGAATCTGACAGTTTTTCCTGCCCTGGGGCTTGGTTCCCTTTCAAAGACGCCATCCTACGTAGAAATTTACTTAGGAGAACAAAAGAAACCGAGCTCATCGGTGAACTTACTGTTTGTGCAAATGAACCCGTGTTTTGGACAGAGCCGGATGGCTAGCATGTCTTGGTGACAAAGGTGGTGCTGCCACCTGCTACTTCTCAATCAGACCTGGTTTTGACCACCTGGACTCTTTGCTCAAATAACTTCAGGACTCAAACGGGTTTTGCAGACGGTGCTCTTTGCGTTGCCAATCGGAGTGGACACCTTCCGTCATTGACCACACGCTTGAAAGGTTACTTAGGTCGAATCAAGGAGCGACTGAATGCCCAGAGAGAGACTGGACATAAGACGACGGGTCACTAGGGCGGAACCAGGCAGCATCCAAAGACGTAACAAGCAACCCGGGAGTAGCAGGTGTTCACCTTTTCTGGGTACTCACTATCCATCAGATTTCTCTCTTTGAGGACATTTACACATTTAGCGACCAGCTTTGGGTTGTCACTAAAATGGCCAGGTCCAATTTGGTGTTGTGTGTGCCAACATGACTGTGTAGTGAGGAACCGTCGTACTTGGATGTTTACAAGTCAGGGCAGTAGGCGATTTCATCATGGTAAGGGCACCAAGCTTCTTACCCGACTGGTCACCCAGCACAGTGGTTGTGACCTACTGAGCAGGGTGAACATCTAAGGAACAAAGGCTTCGGTCCTTTTCCAACCCGTATGCAGTGGGATACGTCATAACTCCCAACAAAAACACAAAACTCAACACAAAACATTAGCTCCCCCTCAAATTGGTGGTTTGGATTGGTGGTTGGGGATTTGAACGGAAGGTAGTCCCGAAGGTCCAAGCAACCAGACCAAACCACCAGCTAGGGGTAAGGTGAAAGACACACAAACACAGAAGCAAAGTGCAAAAGTTCAAGGCTTGGGAGCCGCCAAGTTCCCTGACTAGGTCCTCCAGATTTGAGAGCTTAGAAAAAGGGTACCCGATCTTTTTTCGATTTTAGCAGGAGGAACCCGCCCCCAAAAAAGAAACGGTAAAAGGGCACCTAGCGGGGGGACCTAGCTGAGGCGACAAAAATCCGCGCAGAAAACGAAGGCCGCGGGGCTGATGGGATTCTGGGAGGTCTTAAAGCCGATGAAGTCTGCCGGAATCACTCGGCCTGTGGGCGTCGAGAGCGGCAAACTCCCGACAAGCTGGGCGTGTGGGCGTCAAGCATAGGTGAATGCTTTGAGGTTGGACCCCCAAAAACGGTGGTTGTCCTTTTTAATTTCCTTTTTACACCTACCAAAACAGGGGTACCCTCAAAAGAGACACATCAAAATAAGAGAAAACATAAAATCAAACATGGTTGTTTCCCTTTTGGCTTCCCTTTCAACCAATCTACCTGAGTCCCGATTGAGCAAGTTGGGAAGGTGCTCAACCCCGGTAACGTCGCATGATTGCACCAAATCCTTGCTCCTCTTCGACTGCCCAAACCCGATCAGGCTGGCAAATGTGTTTTTGGAACAGCGAACCAAGAGGACTGGAAACCAATTGTCTACCTACCCTCAAGATACCAACTTACAAAATGGGATTGCCCACGAGTCTGGGGTGAATTTGAGGTCTTCTGGTTTTTTGGTTTTCATGAGGTTCGTCAAAACTGCAAATGCCAAAGGCATCATTAGAATGGCCCTGCTATCTACTCAAAGAGCTTGGTTCGTTTGGACTGACGGGGCCAAAAATCAATTCGCTCTCCAAATGGGATATAGAACCCTTAAAATAGGGCGTTCCGCCTAAAGCAGCCCAAAACAGGGTGCTATCACAAAGGCAACCCACAAAAAAAAGAAACAGAAATCAGCCAGCTACAAGAGTGCCCGTTTCAGGAAACATGCATACATGTACTGTGGATGCCAAACGTTGCAAGTGGACTCTGCACCCGCCAAGGGTCGAGGGGGGGTCATGAGTAACAATTTCTGGGGTTTCACTCTTGGTCCCTCAGCATTTTACAGCCTTAAATGTGCTGGTTTCTGCCTCAAATCCCAAAGCAAAATGCACAGTAGTAAACGGAGACATAAGTAGGTCTGTAGAGGATTTTTGTGTTTGCCCTTTTGCGCTCGCAAGGTTTTTGGAAAACACCTCACAAATCGCAACGCTTCAGTACAAGCACAGTACATTAAAACACATTTCGGCAGATCGAGCTCAACAACCACAGTGTTGCACGCTAAGTACATCGGCAGCTCCAGTGCAAGTGCAATCAGGGAAACACGCGTTGGCAGCTCCAGCTGGAAAAACAAACTTTACAGCATGACTTCTTAGCGCAAGTGCAAGGTCAACTTCCACAATTCCTGCTAAAAAGTCACAACTTTTCAGCACAAGTTAGGGATAAACAATATGTACGCTTTGGCCACTGCGGCTGGCCGTTCGTTGAATTTCTTGAGTACAAGTGTGCACAAAGCACACGTTGGCAATTCAAGCTCGGACTTCTTTCAGTACAAGTGTGGTGGACAAAAAACAAGTGTGGTGGACAAAGTAACTACACTTTGGCAGCGCCGGCTTGAAAATCGGAACTGTTGCGCGCGACGTACACTTTGGCCATAGCAACCGTTTGTCTCACTGTTTGTTGCCGCTTTGGCAAAAATTGTTATTGTCTGAATCTGAAGCTGCATCCATGCATCAAGGAAAGATAATAACACTCAGGCGTGGGAATCCTCACGTTGATTGGGCCCAGTGCCCGCTTCCTTGACTTCCAAGCAACTCTTGAGCGTCGCATCGCATCTCGGCAAACCCTCAAACGCGCGGATTATTTCCCATGACGTGCTGCGTCCCACCCCACTTGCGACACGCGGACCCACAATGTGACGGGGTCGGGAGTTTTTAAGGCTTTCCAGTCATGCTTTGCCTTGTTGCCGCTCCTTGCGTCAACATCCCCAGCATCGTTCTCAACATCCTGGCGTCGCCAAAAGTTTTGGCTTGGGCTGAGTTTAGGGTTGGTTTAGGCTGGGTTTAGGGTTGAGATAGGCTTTGTGGTTAGCGCTGGCTTAGTGGAGGTGTAGTGGGCTTAGGTTAAGTTTGCGGTAGGTTTAGGGTGGCTTTGGGGTGGACATGAGGGATGGTGGTTAAAATTGCGGAAAAAGTCAGCAAACATTGATCAAACTTGGAGGGGGTCAAACTTAAAACAATATTCGGCGATCAAACAACTCTAAAAAGAGTCGGAGTGGGGGCCGGGGGGGGGGCTGGGGCAAACAGTTTGCGGAACCAGACTTGTGTTTTTCGCGCGTCACATCGTTCACAACATGAATGGTGTGAGACGGAGGCGTGCTGTGTTGGTTCGACCGTCTGCGCGGCGAAGTGCGGTGTAAAACAATTTGGCAGCTCCGGCTTGAAAGTTTCAACTGCCCAGCGCCAGGGATACACAATTTCGATCTGTTCAGGCGCGGCTGTTGGCGCGCAGCCCTTCTAGGAGCGTCCTTTGGAGGCAAAGGGTATACAATCCGAACGCCAACCGAAAATGCACCCTAAAGAAACATAATGCCCGCCTAAAGGCAATGCTTCTGGTGATGCCGAGGTGTCGAAAGCTACTACTAATCATAATAATAACCAACAAAAAATGATACGGATGGCGCAGGCGCACGCGTGCATGATGTTGGAGAATGCTGTACATACGGCATGTCAGTGCCCGGGAGCGAAAACCAAAGAAGGAAACAACAGCGCATGAGTTAAATGTCCAACCAAGTATAAATTTATATTTCTGCCAAAGCTGAACAGTTGAAGCCCATGACTACTCTCTCACTTTTCAAAGGATCCCCTTGGCCCATTCACACACGATTTCCTCAACCCCGCCCCGATTTTCCGCAACCCCTCGAAAAGGGATGCCCTTCACTTACAGCAACTGGCCACTCACACTGACTGACATCATAATCCAGCGCGCATGTTTGTTGCTGGTTGGCGTTGTCGGGCTTAGCCTTGAACTTTGACAAACCAGCTAATTGGACAAGGGAAAACAAGCCCAACTTTGAGGTTCCAAGAAGACCTGGAAGGGCTTACAGGTTGAAAGGGAGCAGCACAGCTTCCACTGACCACAGCTGGCTCCCAATATTTAGTTCTCACTTCGGGCACTTCGGGGCATCTTGAGCCTAAGAAAGCTCTGCAACGCGCAAATGGGCTTGCACACTTTTCAATGTTGCGCTCAATTGCGGACATTTGCAGTTCCTGACATTTGTGCACAAATTGCGGGCTGGCAGGGAGCCGCACATCGCCTAAATTTCAGCGGACACCGCGGGTTTCACAACCAAAGGCCACAAAGTCAAGTGTTGGTACTTGCGTCAGGCGCCATACTTGTGCAACAATTCCTGCCTAGCCCTGGGTTGAGATGGAAGAGAGCTGTATAATGAAGATGTAAACGTAAGAGAATTCAACAAACGCCTGCACCAGCACAGGAATGAGCAGCGCGGTATCGATTGTTTCCACAAGCAGTACCAGAATTAGCCAAATCTGCGCATATATCCGAAAAGTGTGCAAATCTCCCAAAAGTGTGCAAATCCCCAGAAAACAAGCACTTAGATGGGGATTCCTTACCCCCCGTACCAAACAGCTAGGGTCTATCTTGCAGGCTGTTTGTCTGGGTACTGGATTTTTTTAGGCTTCAAGTCTGCAAAAACAAGTCGACTTTAAGCGTCCATGACACTGCTCCAACCCGCCGGGGCAACCCACCAAAGTGCTCTCCCGAAGGCAGTATTTTGCAGTGCGAAGCTACCAGTTCCTTAGACAACTAGCTCCTAGCAGGCTCCACGGCAAATCCTTACACCAAGCTCCGTGACCTCTCCCTTCCCTCGGAGAGCGGCACCTTGGTGCATGAGCTGGTAGAAGGAGTGCTGGCCATTGGTGCCCGGCTCCCCGAAGTAGATCGCACCTGTGGGCACCTGAAGCGTGAAGCAGGTACTGTGAGCCTGGCAACCGTGCCTTCTTCTTGGTTTTGTTTTCTTCTTCCTTCTTCTTTGTGTGTGCCCCCTCATTTGACACATACCCATGCTTAGGGCGTTTCTTGAAGCGTTGTTTTCGAGGAGAGCCTAACAACAAGAGTGCCACTGCACAACTGGGAAGCTGCCGGAATGAAGAACGACTCGGCCAGGTGCCCGTGTTTGCGGGCAAACCACCTAACCACAAGGCTGCTCGACAGAACTAAGCCGCAGATCCGGATGAATCGGATCGGGCCCCCCGCATCGTGCCCGCGTTTGCCGCCACAGGTTGGCGCCTTTTTTTGGTTGGTTGACGACTTAATGAGCATATGAGCATCTTTTTTGAGGGTACCTCCTTTGTCGTTGTTTTAGGGGAACGCCAAAAGGACAAAAACGACTTCTGGGCTCCCCTAAAGGGGGCTACACCCTTAGACTCTTAGAGGCTTTTGGCGTACAACGCCCAGCGTTCCCAGAGCCTGAAACCTGGGCCTATCGAATCGGGCCGCTGTGCATTCCTTGCCGTCCATCTGCACGCGCTTGCCTGGCCGATGGAACCACTTCGCTCGACTTACCCTCTATAGACACCGTGGGAGGGAACCATTTGGGGATTTGGGGAACCGCTTAGACTTCGTCCCCTTGGGGATGGCAGGTCTGCAGCAGTTTGACTGTGGAACCTTCTCTTCCGATGGCCCAAGCCCGAGTTTCTGAACAGAATGGGTGAAAAACATGGGGGGAGTTTGCCTCTCGCACCCAAACAATGGCATGTGCGCCAACACCCGCAACTTGCAAGCTATTCCCCATCTCTGAAGAACCACTTTGAAACGGTTTCGATCGACTAAAGACAGGCGAGCTGGGGGATGCTGGTAGGCTCAGTCCGCATTCAGCACAATATGGAGGTGTCCTAACACCAAAAGACCGCCAGATCGCGCTTCGAGGCAAGCAGGAATTCTGGCCTTTTGGTCCCTCCATTTGCAGAAGCACCCAGTGGAAACCGTTGCCAGTTCAGGTGGATGTAATATTCTAATATTCTAACTTGTTTTTGATCATACCTTCGCTAAATTTTGGTGAAGGGAGCCAAAGGAAACCAACAGAAACAATTGAAAGCCAAAAGAAACCAAAGGAAGCCAAACTATATAATGTTCTACTTTTGGATTTACAATCCTGCTCGATCCGGTGAAGGGAAACCAACGAAAGCTGAGCTTTTGAACCTCGTTCTATTAGGTCCAGTCAAGAAACCAATTTTTGAACCTCAAAGGATGCTTGGTCATCCTTTAGATGCGAGCAACCATGCATTGTATGTAACACGAATACATGTATATAGAGCTATATATTGCATATATATGTGTATATATATATACACATATGTGTATATATATATATATACACATATGTATAGAGATTTGTGCGTGTAGCCAAGATGCCGTTGCTCTCCATGTCCAGCTGTTGGATATGCGCCACAAAGCGCACCAACGCCTCCGGGCTTGACTCCAGTCGGCTTCTTTTCGGAAGCCAAACTCACGCGAGCAAATCCCCTCCGCCCATCCCCCAGCAAATCCCCTTAGGCCTTTCAAGTGTGTGTTGTTTCTGCAAAGCTCAAGCTCACTTCCCGAGTGAACTGACCACCAAACAGTCCAGAGTTCTTCCAAACGGTCTTTCCAAGAAGTAGTGTCCGGAACTGCATGAGAAAAACCGTGTCTCACAATTGATTGGACTCGAACAACTTAGGTGGCGTCCTCAAGGTTCCCGAGCAAAGTGCCTGGTGTACCCTCCCACCAATGAACATGGAACCTGACGGGGGAGAAGTCCCTTTGGAGGGAACATGGTCCAAACTAGGACTCCCCGAATGTCAGGTTCCATGTCAATTGGTTGGAAGGTACGTTGGCTTGCATTTTGAGCCCAAGCAGACCATGAAACGCGCACATGCGCCCACTCACTTCCATGGCATGTTACTCATGCTGCATGTTGCGGGCTCTGGGCAGGCTTCTCACCGTGCAGGCTCAAATACCATGTCGACCAAGCTTGGGTCGCCCTAAGGCGACCCATGACACAGAAAACTATCCTATAGGAGGGTTTTCCGTTTTGGCATAACCCCATTGTAACCCCATCGCAAACACTTGCCAACCTTTTCTGCAGGTGTACCACGCACGTTTCTGTCAAAGCGCCTCCTGTTCACGTTGGTTTGAACGGAAACCAAAGAGAAACCTTGGGGGGTCCCCCCATTTTTTGACACGTACCCAAATTGCACAATGTCACAACCTCGCAAAAGTGTCGCAAAAGCAACAAGCTAAAGAAGACAGTCATACCACGGGTAAACTTCGCCTCTTAGCCGAAAAATAGGGGCATGCCAAGAGGTCTGGGGTGTTCAAGGACCCTGCAACGTCTACAGTTCACCAAATCTTCGCCCACGGCCAGCTAGCCGAGTATCAAGCACCGCGGGGATGGGGGGGGGGCTCAAGCAAACCTTTGCAGGCGTTCAAACCACACCAACAAAAGCTCAGGTGGTATCTCCACCCCGGAACCCTCTGGAAAACCCCTCGGCCCCCGGCTATCTGGGCCTATCGACCCCATAGCTTTCAGCTGTTGGGGAATAATGAGAAGAGTTGGACACCCGCGGAACCTTACGTTGCCTCTTTTTTTCAAGGGAAGGACCGCACTCTGCGAGTTTGTGTAGCTGTTTTTTTCTCGGCCGGACATGCAGCTTCCTTGATCGAACTTTCCGAGCGAATGAAGGCTTGCGGCTTCAATTTCTCTCAATCTCTGGGAGTTCCGAAACCACTCCCTCGCAGGGGACGGCTTTTTTGCGCAACCCAAGAGTTAAGTTCACGGCGCAAGCCCCGGTTTTCCTGAGGGAGCAGCCCAGCGAATTAACTCATCTTGGGCCAGAGTTTTAGGGAATTTGGGGGACTTTCGGCAAGTACCCTGCAACCGCTTCCAATGACACATTGAGCTACCCGGAATGTTGTTAGCCCAAAAATCCCCTTTCCTGGCACACACCCACACACACACAGAGATCTTAAGAGCCGGGACGAGCAAGAGGCCTCGTTGAAACATCTGAAACTCAGGATTGATGAAACCACTGTACTTCTAGTTCCCTTAGGGCGCCATGTGACTTCAACCTTGTTTGGTTGCTGTTGACCCTCTGCACATGTGCTTAAACTTGTTGTGGGTCTCAAAATCCAACTAATTCTAACACAAGCAATGTTAAAGTCCAAAGATCCGTTACCAAATAGATCCATAAAGCGTTTTTGCCCCCCCCCCCCCCCCAACCCTCCACCCAGAGATCCACCCTTCGATCCTGGTGTTTTACCCCTGATAAACCGGGAGCGGGTGAATCCGGTGACCCGTGCCTGGCAGTAAGGCAGCACGGCGCAGCCCTGACGAAAGCAAGCGACGAGACTTTGGAGCCGAGCCCACGTCTCAGGAGAAAATCACTTGAGTCACAATCAAAACCTGGTACAAAAAAAAAGGTCGACCCAGAACCAGGTAAAGAACTAAGAAGGCGGCCGCAGCTATTTTATGGCTGGGATCGTCCCTTCACTTACCCGGGTTTTGATTGTGGCTCACTTGGGTGCTGATCAATGTTCAATTTTAAAGGGCCCCAGTTTTGACCATGGGTAACTGTTCCCAAGGGAAAGTCATCCTTTTTGGTGATTCCGAATGGTCACCCCATGTCAAGTATCGGACAACTTGATCAAACCCCCTTGCCCCTTAAGGACCACAAACTCACTTCCGATCGCTCGTGGGTTGGCCACAGAAATTGTCGCCAAACTTGTTGGGAAGCCACTAAAACTTGTGCAAACCCAAAATGTGAGCAAAGTCCAGGAACTCAGGGAGCGAAGAAATAGACAGTGATCACCTTTCAGAACCTTGACTAATATTTTCCAAATCAGGGAAACCAAAAGGCGAGATCAAAAGGTCTCTTTGCTTTGGGCAGTTGCGCAAAGGCATGGCCATGCAACTCTAAGATCAAAAGGCCAACAAAAGCCCTCATTGCCACGGAATATCCAATTATCTTACACTTTTTGGCATACTAGCAAAACGTGGGGACTTGAATCAATCAATTGCAACACAACAAATCCTAACATCGATGTTTGACGACAAAAATGATGAAATGGAAAATGCACGGGGTGAGAAAGCCTCTTCAGAGCTTGACGACCGTCCCTACCACGCCCAAGCAAAAGCTTCTTTTTAGTCATGTGAAGAGCCTGGAATCAATGCATCTGCAGCCACTCAGCTGACAGCGCAGCCTTCAAAGACTGGCAATGCTTACCGTTGGCAATATGCTATGTTTGTCCAACATAGGAAACAATCCGAATAAGGGTGAATACAATATATATATATGTATATATATATATATGCATAGCAGCATCACTGGTGAGATGTATGAGTTAGATAATTACCTAGCTAGTTAGCGTGTTAGAAATAGAGTTAGATATCTGGTTGGCTGGCTAGCTTGTTTAGTTTGTTTGCTTGATTCTTTGGTTGTTTGTTTGTTTGTTTGCTTGTTTCTCAGTTGGTTAGTTGGCAACTTAGACAATTTGTTGCTTGGTAGTTCATTGTCCAAACGCTTAGACGCTAAACAAAGCAACCAAGTTTCCCCCCACCAAGAGCAGTCCCTGGTGGAGATAATTCCATGCTTCATGGGGATTTCGTCTATCCAGAGTTTCCGAATGCAGCTCCAAAACTGATATGACTGGATGCGGGTCCATGTTTGGTGAACCTAAAGATGCAAAACACTGCTGTGGATGGAGGACTTCCTGCACCACCAAAGAAACCATGGGACACCATTGTTTGTTGGCCTTTTTACTGAAATCAAGGTGTTCAATGGTGGTGCAGGATTTCGTCCATCCACAGCAGAGAACAAGTGCCTTCAAGTCGTGTACCAACAGGTCATGTTCCATGGCAAACCTTTGAATCCCACACAATTGAAAGTTCAGGCCCCCATATCCCTCCGTGGACCATCGACCAATCGACTGCTGGATATGTTGACCGCACATGCTCTTCTTAGAGGGCACCAACATGGGCACAGCTTTTGCTGCCCAGTCCAATGCAGGCACTTCGGTGATATGGTCCTTCCCATCTCTTCGAGGCGTCCCGTTACGTGAGGCCAAAAGGGCGTTCCGAAGCGCCTGCCTTGAAGACCTGCCCAAAGCGGTTGACTCAGCCGCGAGTCCTTCGGCCCATGGGCCAGGTGCCACTCGGTGCCGCTCGACGGGGCGCGCCTCGTAGCCCAGGCAGGAGGCATTCCAAACTGCCAGCAGCCCCAAGATCGTCGGCAGGTTCCTGAAAGCCGGTGCCTTTTTGGGGGTGAGGCGGGTGGGAAGGACACCTGCTCGTTGCACCATTTCAGAGGGCCTTCAATATGACTTTTCGCACTGTGTCGTACTACAGAGTATTGTACGATATACTCTACTGTCTCACACGGTATTGCATTGTATCACATTGTAGAATATCATGCCATACTATACCATATCATGTATCATATCATAGTTGTTCATATCTCACCATTGGCTCTAAACATTGCGGAGTCAGAATCACAAACCAGTAGTGGAAAGACGCTACTCAGAACCCGTCGTACAGAATCACGGCGGAAACGCCGTGCCTTGCTTCATGGCAAGAGGATTCTCAACTTCAACTGCCCAGGTTTAGATTGCGGCTCGCATATTTTCCCTTACCTTTTCGGAGGAAGACGAATTCGTAGAGAAGGCGACCTCTCAACTAGCAACTTCCCTAATACATATGATTGTGTCCGGAACTCTATACAAACCACCCCTTGAAGACACGTTTAGCGCTTCGACCCTGCTCCGGCCCGACCACTGTTCCCTTTCACACCAATGCAGAAGCCATCAATTCCGAAGCGAAACAGTCTGGCTACATATTCTCCTCGAGCCGCAAACAGCGGAACCCCTGAAATTTGGAACCCTGCAGCCAAAAAAAACTTTTAGAGGGAAACCCAGGGATGAATCAACCCGGTAAATCGACAGACGCGTTTCTCCCCAAAGGGGAAGGATCGGCTTCAAAAATGGAAAATGCAACCTATTCAACCAGGGGTTTACATGACAAGGACCCCGGAGTACTGAAACCCTGAAGTACATTCTCGTCGTGTAATGATGAAAGTTGCCCCAACGGAATGTAGTCTTCCATCACCCTGTCAGCGCTTTTTGTTGGTTGGCACTTTCCTTTCGGCAGTTGATGTTAACACGGTTCAGATTTGGGTCCATGTTAAGCCTGCCTGCCCCTTCGAACAAATGGGTGTGTCTCTTTTAGGAGACACCACTGAAATGGATTTGGGTGTCCTTTTGGTTTCTCTTTAGAATCATCCCAAAAAGTGGTTACCAACTGCAAAAACGACAGAGAACTCCAGGTGACAAAAGTCCGAAACGGGCTTTTCCATTTGCTTTTCCGCCTGCTGGGATAAAAATAAAGCAAACACATAACAAAAAGTCCGATGTCAGTTGGTTCAGAGCTCGATTTCAGGGTTTGGTGCCATGGGACTTCTCCAGGGGCGCGGTTTGGAAGTGCACGTCCATGGCACGGGCGCCGCTGAGGAACTTCTGCACCACCTCGAAGCCGTACCTGGGACGGGGACGGGGACGGGGGGGACGCGGGGGACGCGGGGACCCACAAGCTCGGTTTTGCTGTTGGTGCCCTAAATGTCTCGCTTCCGAACAAGTGGATGGCCCCCAAAACAGTCCAAACGCTTTCCACTAACATGGTCCAAGCCCAACAAGTTTAACGTAAAGGGTAAAGGCTTGTTTTTTGTTGTTTTGCCTAGGGGGGACCCACAAAATGGGGACCCGCATGGAGTTCGATTTTGCCGTTGGTTCCCTGAGAAACGGGTACCCTGAAAGGCTGGACGCCAAAATGAGGGGGACCCACATGGATTTCGTTTGCCTAAACCAACCCGAAAGGGGTACCCCTCAAAAAGCGGCTGCTTTTGAGGCTCGGGAATCGCCCTTTTGAGCTGTCAAAAGGGGAAAAGGACCACGATTTTGCAGGCCCCCTATTTTGACACGCACCCACATCAGCACACTCATCTTGCGAGCCATAGAGCCATGGAAGAGTTTCTGTTGCCCAATGGGCCTTGGCGTGAGGAAAGGCAGGCTTTCGGTTCGACGCAAAACGTCCAGTTTCACCCAAAGCTCCTTCCTTGGCTCCCGATCTTCAGGTTAAAGCGGTTTCTTCTTGCGCTTCTAATGTCTAACGGCCCAAGAATTAAAGGTGATCACTTTTTGGGGCCATGACTTATGTTATGATCCAAAAAAGGAAAGTAACAGGTAAAATCCGGTCGGCTTCGCTTTGGGCAAGGGAGCTTCTAATTCACCCGTTCGTGCAGAACTGACGTTCCTGAGTTCGAAGGGAAGCTTCGACGGAGCCCAATTGACTTCCTGAGCACAACGCCCCCTGAACGGAACGGTACTCGTAGAAACCGAAGCGACATTCCCCCCCCCCCCCACGCGGCCGCCGCGCCCGATGCCAAGGAACTGAAGGGACAACGGAACGACGCCCACAGCACTGCAGACTGAGAAGCGGCCGCCTGAAGCTTGCCGCAAGCTATTTCCGCTCAGCTGGGCTGTCTGTGCCCTGAAAATCCCCTGCTGAAAGTGGACAACTGGTGGTGGTTTAGGTGAACCTAAAACTGAAACCAAACCAGCTAAAAACCTAAGGAACCGGATGGCTGGGAGCTAAGGTGGTTTGGAGCTGAGTTTAGAGATACCTTTGAAACATTAAAGAAGGATTGCATTGCCTTACAAACTGATGTGGGTGGTAAAACTAACAACACCTCCACCTCCCACACCTATACCTGAAAATGCCCTTGATTCAGTGTCCATGAGGTCAGTCCCCGTAGTTCCTCCTATATCACCCCACCAAGAGGTAATCTACAATTCGTCGATGTTCACTCGCTTCAAAGGGACACCTAGGAACCTTCGGAGTCTCACCGGAGGGCTAATGGGGTGGCTATGATTAATGAAGCACGTTCACGGTTCTTCCAGGGCCAGAGTCATGTTCCATAACTATGCCGACTTGCGGACTTTCGCACGGCTCTCTTTTACCTTCCCCTCTCAACGCAACTCTGCCTGCAGGAAATCTCAATCCAGGATGAAACAACAGCATAAGGTGTCCAACCACAAACAAGGAACACCACACATTGCGAGGAGCCCAAATTGTGTTAAAGACCAACCTGGCTCCACAAGCTTCAGCTTTGTTCTTCGGGTTCCCGATCCCCTGACAGGAGACTAAGTGGCCTGCCAAATTATCCCCTCCCCCTGTTTCATTTGGTGGAAACTAGAATGTTTCTAGGGGTTAGAGCGGTTGTTCCACAAAATCGACGCCCAGGCCTTGCTAAGCAAACTTGACAAACATCATCGGGACATTCTTTCATGTGTTGTTCTTTTGGGGAAGCCCTTTTCTTGGTAAAGCGAAGCCATGGGGTACCATTTGGAGACGCACTCTACAAATTTGGATCTGAGGAAACCTGAGGATTTGGTCCGCCGGCCTACCCAATCCCAAAACCCGAAGACGTTCTCCGAGTCGATGCCGAAGGCTTTGGTCTTGTCCTCAGCTCTCGACGCTTTCCCCGTGGCCGCAGGGATTTTGGGGGTCCCCACTGGACGAACATCACTTTGAAGCCACGATTGAATCCATTGTTTGTTGGTTTTACAGGGGAATCATGATTCTAGGGTCTCTTTGGTGCAGGATTTCGTCCGACTGTATTTTGGGGGGATCCGGGAACCTATGGTGGCATCTATTTTTTTGAAATTCGGGTGCCTTTCTACCAGCAAAGCACATGGTTGTATTCTTTTGTAAAAGGGGCTGGTTACCTTATATCCATGGTAACCTGAAGGTTGAAAATCCAAGTACTCCAGTTGAATTGAAATATGGGAGCCAGCCCATAGTGACTGTTGTCTCGTGATGCAGTCCGGAAATCACAGAACAATGGCAACCCTGAAAAGCGAAACCAAAGGACACCCAAAAGCGAAACCAAAGGACACCCAAAAGCCACAGTCCACCCTTATAGGACCCCCTGCTCCAAACACCCACGTTTTCCGGGTATGATGTCGACCCTTCACCAAAAAAGGAGGCATTTACCATGGAGAACCCATGTTGCCAAAAAGATGCACTAAACATACGGGGATTTGGAGCAGGGGGTATGGCCACGCGTTATATCCCAAACAAAAACCAACCCCCAAAAGCGCAACCTCCCAGAAAGAGCAGACCCCTGGACGACAGCAACAGCAGCAGAAGCTTCAGACTTGCAACTATTGTGTTCAGTTCCAGCACTCCCTGAAAGGGATGCTGCGGTGTAATTTATGTTGTGCTTCTTGACAGTGTGGAGCAGTGGCCAACTTGTGTTGGTACTCCTTGGACACGGTCACACTCCTGCTCACGTAAATATTCGCCCCATTCAATCTCTTGGGTGCCAGAAAGAGGGGCCGTGACAAGTTTCAAAGCCAGGTAGACTCGGTTGGAGAAGGAAAACCAAAGTCTTTCCAACCAACTATAGTCTAGCCTTTAAGGGGCTGGGAGCCGCCAACTGCCATTTGTTTGTTCGCCCCCCGGATTGATAAACCCCTATTTATTAATATGGGGGCGTTCCCCTCCAAAAGTGATAAAAACAAAAGGGACACCCGCATATTAACAAACACGGGGTTATTAATCCGGGGTCTTTGGCAAATGGACTTCCAAATAATAGTGGAAAACGGGCGCCAACGTCTCCACTCGTTGGATTCCAGTGGCTAAGGCGGTGGAGCAGGCCGCCACGTGCTTGGCGATGGCCTGCTCAGAGCCCAACTCCTTCACCAGCCAACCTCACCAGAAGCCGCGACCGCGAGCTTCGAATTGGAGGATTCTTAGGTTGTCAATTGGAAGGTGTTCTTTGGAAGGTGTTCTTTGGAAGGGGCTGTTTGGAGGTTCTTCATTCGACCTGGGCTGTTCAAAATGGAGTGTTGCCAAATCCCAATCCATCTCTATTGGGAAACAACAAAGGGGACCATTTTTGAAACTAAATATGAGGATTACTCACTTCCCGAGTGAATGGGCCAACAACAAAGCCAAACTGTTTCTTTACCTCTCAAACGGTCCGAACCCAAAAAGTTAAAAGTCCAGCAGATCAGGGAGTGAGTTTGAGGATTGCCTTTGAACAGCCCCAGCCAACCTCACCGAAGAACACCCCGAGAGGTTCGAACACTAGGAAGGGCTTCGGATGAGATTCGAAGGGTTCTGAGAACCTGTCCGGTGGGATTCGAATGGTGAGGGCCCTAAGGCTTCCTCAGTGACTCCATCCCAGGACTTTGCTAAATTGTGGCCCAAATCCTAGCTAGACTTCAAGCAAGGGTTAATTTTCCCGCGGTCTCTTGTTGCTGATTGACGAAATATTGGACGTTAAACCCCACGACATATTGAAGACACTGCCTACCGAATGGTGCAGGACTTTGGCTATCAACAGTATTGCAAGTCGGGAAAGTGTTGGACACCGTAACATGTATGGTAATCTACTAAGCATTTGGTTGTTTCACTGCCATAAGAATTAAGCATGGATATCGAGCAACCCAAACATGCATTGATAATGGTACATATAGACAAACATGTCAATTCCGTAAACTGTCAGGTTGTATGTTGTCATGTCATTGAGCAACTCACATTTTGAAAGAAGATGCACTAGTGTCATAGTCTGCATTGTCCGTCCATCTTGATGTATGACTGATTCAAGTAGTGAGCACCCTAAGCGGCGAGAAGCACGAGGACGAACACATCGCCTTCCCTGAAGCGCGGACGCTCTAAACCGAGTCTTGGTGCGCCCGTTCTCGAGGTTTTCGAGCGAGACCAAAAGGCTTTTTGGGGGTCCAACCTGAAAAAGGGCACCCCCACGGGCCATACAAAAGGGACAGGGAATGGGTCAATTCGGACTTTGAGATCAGAACCGAGGTTCTGAGATGGCAAAGCCATGTGGGTGTGGATGCAAAATAGGGTAGCCCACGCATGGGCTGCCCTGGTACCGCAAATGCAAAATACTTACATCAGCGGTCCATATCAAATGGTGGCTTAAATTTTCGACCCATACCCATTTGAGCCACTTGCGTCCAAAAGGTCCCGCCAAAGACCATGGACAGGGTCCCGGCCTGCCTTGAGCACGAGAAAGCTGCCCTCAACCCAAAAAGGTGAGTTAGGCCCTCCGAAACCATTGACGTGGTGAACCCAACGTGTTGTAGAGGCTGGTGTATGCAGATCTGTCTCCAAACGGAGCCCTTTGGTTTTCTCTTGACATCATGAAACAAAAAAGACACTCAACAAAAAACCACACATATCCATATAGCCCCCATCTCCCCTTGAAACCAGGCAGGAACCAAACCTACCAGGGGGGTGTGAAAAGGTGCACTATCCCTGGATAGGCCCACCTTAGACTGCGTTTCAGGTCAATGGGAATCCCGCATGCAACTCAGCGGCTCTTCACCGTTCTCGCATTCAGCATGGTCTCCGCCTGCAGTATCTCCAAAACTCCACGGCCATTTTGTTTGCTTGGTTTTTACTTCAAATAACTGGGCTGTCCTCAGATCCCCCGCGAAAGTGGGTTGAATGGACAAAGGAATCTGATGTCTGGGAACCACCAAGGTAAGGCCAGGACTGAAGCTTAAACAGGGAGCAACGCACATATCTTTCCCCGGAACGGCCGGTTCCTTGGCGAGATTCCCGGCCCCTAGTTGGTACCTTCGCCATTCGGCTTCAAAAGGAACTGGGGTTCAAAACCCAAATCCAAGCCAGGGGTGCCTGAAACCATGTCGTGGGTGCCAAAATGGGAAAACCGCACGGCGGTATCGAATGGAACCAGCAACTGAAACCAGCGAAATAGCCGGTTTTATGCGAACTGACTCTTCAAAGGACGCCTATGGTCTGAAGTCATCCCTGTTCGGTTGTCTTTATCGGAAAATAAGCGCAAGACAAATTCTTTGGGTGTTTGTGGGTACACCCTTTTGGTTGGTGTGAAAGGAAAACCAAAAGGACAACACCCATTTCTGGGGCTCCCCCAAAGAAAGCTTTCGGAAAGCAATCCTTCCGAATACCCCCCAAAAAAAATCAGCGACAGGGACCAGTTTCCATGATACAGCCCTCATGTAGCGAATGCAGGTCATTGAGGATAAGATTCCTCTCGTTTGGGAATACAAATCCCTTCAGGTGCAACAACTTCAAACCAGGGCTTTGAAATGGTTTGCCCCGCCTGACTTGGCGATTTCTGTGGTTTCTACGGAACCCAGCCAGCCATATTGCCGAAAAGGAGACCTTCTTCGGTCCTATGGCATGGCTATGCATCCTGCAGGCAAAAGTGTCCCTTGGCTTGTTGTGTCTTGTTGAATTACGCAGCCTGCAGGACACTTACTTACACGTGCCTCGCCACACCTTTGAACGCAAAAAGACTTCTGCAAATTCATGTGGAAGGAACCACTCGGTATCTGAAATAAGGGTGGCGTGTCACTTTTTTAGGGGTGTAATGGTTCAACTCAAGTTGGAATCTGGATCAGGGTTTGCCTTGCCCCCTTCTGCCTCATGCTGACGTGTTCTAATTACATATGTTGTTCTTAAGACGCACACGCACACACACACACAGACACACACACAGACACAGACACAGACACAGACACAGACACAGACACAGACACAGACACAGACACAGACACAGACACAGACACAGACACAGACACAGACACAGACACAGACACAGACACAGACACAGACACAGACACAGACACAGACACAGACACAGACACAGACACACACAGACACAGACACAGACACAGACACAGACACAGACACAGACACAGACACAGACACAGACACACAGACACAGACACAGACACAGACACAGACAC